GAGACAATTCTATAACCAATGTTCCAGCGATGTGTCAATATTTCATTCAAAATGATCTGCTACCAGAAATTTTAGCCAAATATCCCCAGTTTGCTAACTGTAGGTAGTAACTAAGTGATTGTAACCTATCCACCGCTGCCCACTGGATGGAGGGCGGTGTGCAGGACAAACATATCACTTTTGACACTAGCTCTCCACATATGTCAGTTGCTTAATTTAGAACCTGTACTTGAGGTCGATCTCGAACCCATTGTTGATGTGACGACTTATATTGAATTTTGTAACTAGCTCATCAAGATTGTAACTTGCTTAGCTAAATGAATTGTGGGGTTCAGTCCCTGAGCCCATTATGTGCCTCTGTAACCCTTTCCACTACCGCCCACAAGATGGGTATGGGGTGCATAATAAATGAACTAAACTAACTGAAAACAGTATCAGCTCTTGATACTGGTAATGGCTCAAAAGGGCCACCACTTACGGGCTATTCATGCCCGTGCCACCTTTTGGGTGGCTTAATCTTCATCAATCAATCATCAACTGTTTATAGGTTTAATGGGTGAACACTTGATACTGGGTCAGGAGTTAGCCAAACATGTGATCTGTTCAAGAATATTTTGAAAATGTTTTACAGTATAAAAGTGAACGCTTAGTGAGGGGGTCATTGAAGGAAGGAACTATCAGGGGAAAAGCGCCAAGCCATTACTACTATATAGCACTGGGAAGGGGTCAGGATTAGGCTTTGGGATGGGACGGTGTGAAAGGAATGGTGCCCAACCACTTGTGGACGGTCGGGGATTGAACGCCGACCTGCACTAAGCAAGACAAATATAATTTAGCCTGTTCAATTTATTGCAACGCATAATTATTAATCGTGTCATTTTATATAAGCATGTATATCAAATTCATACACCATATGTTGTCTTCATATTATCATTCCCAGGTAAGTAATGTTTTTATTATTATCATTATTATTGATATATACAAGAGTTGTTACATTCTTGTACAGCCACTATCACGCATAGCGTTTCAGGCAGGTCCTTAATCCTAATATTCCCTGGAACACGACCCGCCAAATCGTTTAACAAACCAGGTGCCCATTCACTGCTGGGTGAACAGAGACTACAGTTAAGGATTGGGGCCTAGTCAATCCTCCCCGGCCAGGATACGAACCCAGGCTAAAGTGCTCGCGAAACGCCGGGCGAGTGTCTCACCACTACACCACGGGGACTGTTTAATTACATTACATTACTATGAAATGTCAGCATTCTCTGCCGGAAACAGAGACAAATCCACTAACACGCATAGCGTGTTAGTGGATTTGCAAGAATGTAAAATACCAATCTTATGTAATCTCACAAACCCATTGTACCTTTTTATTAATAAAGTTATAACTATTAAAGCTTATCTAGATGTGTAGTGCCTTCAGTCCCCCCTTAAACACGGCGGAGTATAAGAGAAAACTGGTCGAGACCAGCCGGAGACCAACCATTGGGAGTCCAGTAGACCATATAGTCCATATATCAATTATACAATGTATATATATGATGTAACTATATAACCTGAGCTTGTAAAAGCACCTTCAGTGATTAAGTGCTTAATTGCACACTAGTTTCTTTATCAGCTATCTCACCCTGTCAGAGTAAATGAGACAAATGTATGTGAATGCATGTGTATATATGTATATATATGTGTGTGTATGTATACATATAGGTATAAAGTATATATCGAAGCTGATCAGAATTACATTTCACCTTTGTGAATGTACATTAATGACACTATGTAAAAGACACATCAAATACTTTATGTAGGGCATACGTAGATCTGTGTATCTATGTATTTACGTATGTAGGTTAGCTTAGCATTTTAAAAGCGCAGAATCACCTTCTGTGGTTGAGTGTTCAATAAACCCTTGAACTATATGTTTAACACTTCTCTAACCCTGTCCATGGAGGACAGAAGAAAATGTATATATGCTGGTTAGCATTGTAAATGTGTGGCCACGTCTGTGGTAGAAAATAATAATAAAAAAAAAACAAAAAAAAAAGTCCAGTAGAATTATCAAAAGAAAGCACCAAGCTGGTTCGACTATGTACACTGGGACTGGAGATAATTTATTGATTTATATACAAGGACCATGGGGTTGTGAGAGCACATAACACGGGTGTTCTGACATTCTTGTCAAGCCACTATAGCACCCAGAGCGTTGCCCACAGGTCTTTAACCTAACAGATAAAAGAGAGTACATTGGTACATTGTAGCAAAATTTGAGTTTTTACCCAAGGGCCACTAACACTAGTGGCCTCGACGAGGACAGGAAGACGGCGGCTTGTCGAAGGTCCCCTTCCCCCACTCAATTTTATTAGAATATCTTTTTCTAAGTGGATTTTAAAACTTAACAGTTTTGGCATTATATCAGTCCCCGTGGCGTAGTGGTAAGACGCTCTCCTGGCGTATCGTGAGCGTTTTGTCCTAGGTTCGTATCCTGGTCGGGGAGGATTGACTGGGCACAAATCCTTAACTGTGGCCTCTGTTTACCCAACAGTAAAATGGGTACCTGGTTGTTAAACGATTTGGCGGGTCGTATTCCGGGGAACATAGAGGGTACATAGGATTAAGGACCTGCCCAAAATGCTAAGCATGCTAGTGGCTGTACAAGAATGTAACAACTTTGTGTATATATAAATAAATAAAATTTGCGGCTTCAGCGGGTAGGCGGTTCCATGGGTTTATAACCTCGCGAGTGAAAAAAGCATCGCCTGTTCTCAGTCCAACATTGTGGCTTGTTGAGCTGGAAACCCTTGCTCTCTGTGTTACACCTGACCAATTGAAGAAATTGTCAGGATCAACATCTTCCAACTTGTCCAACTACTTTAAAAGTTTCAACTAGATCCACCCTGTCATGGCTATGGTTTGCATTGTTAGGCCTGTGACCCTCAACCGTTCCTAATACGAGAGATGGCTTAGCTCTGGAATGACTTTTGTTGCCCGGTGTTGCACCTTCTCCACAGCAGCTTTAGATTATGACTCCACGGTAGTGGAGTCATAATCCACTACCGTCACTCCACTACCGTGGATTATGACTCCACGGTAGTGGAGTCATAATCGTGTAGAATGTTCACTCTCTCGCTTGGTTTGGCATAAGCCCTCGTCCTTTTGTCTGCCTCTTCCCTCCTGTTCCAGAAGTGGTTACACAGTTTTTAGCATCTGCGACATCTGAATTATTGACAGTCTCATAACAAGAAAGAAAGGATCATAGACCACACACTACTGTCCAACAGTCTTGGTCAGAAGTGGGATCACAGACCACACACTACTGTCCAACAGTCTTGGTCAGAAGTGGGATCACAGACCACACACTACTGTCCAACAGTCTTGGTCAGAAGTGGGATCACAGACCACACACTACTGTCCAACAGTCTTGGTCAGAAGTGGGATCACAGACCACACACTACTGTCCAACAGTCTTGGTCAGAAGTGGGATCACAGACCACACACTACTGTCCAACAGTCTTGGTCAGAAGTGGGATCACAGACCACACACTACTGTCCAACAGTCTTGGTCAGAAGTGGGATCACAGACCACACACTACTGTCCAACAGTCTTGGTCAGAAGTGGGATCACAGACCACACACTACTGTCCAACAGTCTTGGTCAGAAGTGGGATCACAGACCACACACTACTGTCCAACAGTCTTGGTCAGAAGTGGGATCACAGACCACACACTACTGTCCAACAGTCTTGGTCAGAAGTGGGATCACAGACCACACACTACTGTCCAACAGTCTTGGTCAGAAGTGGGATCACAGACCACACACTACCGACATACAACCTTTCCCAGGCAGGGAAAGGAGGCGAGATCCGCACGTGAAAATAACCACTCGTGCAAACCTATTATTGTACTAGGAACGTATTGTCACATACACAATGAATTAAATTCCAAGATGTTTTTAATAGTAATTCTTAATCAAGTTTGTAAATAAACAAGAGGAGCTAAAAACAAATAACTTTTATTGTGTGTATCACTGGCCAGAGATATAAGAGTTCCGACACTCTAAACTCAGATCCATCGGGTGTAACAATCCCCCCACCAATTACATGACTTTCACAGAGGACAAGACTCGCCAACAGGCACATATAAACAATAATAAATCATGTGTCAGAACAGAGATTCCAAGTGATAAAACACGAGTCGGTTATTAATAAACATGACAACTTTGGCCTAACAAATATTCAACAGGCTGAAGGACCATTTAACACGGTAATTGAATGGTTGACTCTTCCAGTCCTATCTCTGCCACCAGTCCCAGTTTGTACAACACACACACACACACGTGCTGTAAACATACAGGTCTCACAACCACTGTGCTATGAACAAATGGGACCCCGAGATGGTTGTGCTGTGAACCCATGGGTCCCGAGACGGCTGTGTTATGAACCTATGGGTCCCGAGACAGCTGTGCTGTGAACCTATATGACCCAAGACGGCTGTGCTGTGAACCTATATGACCCGAAACAGCTGTGCTGTGATCCTATGGGTCCCGAGACAGCTGTGTTGTATACCTGTGGGTCCCGAGATGGCTGTACTGCTAACCTGTGTGACTCAAGATGGCTGTTGTGAACCTGGTGTGTCCCAAGATGGCTGTGCTGTGAACCTATGGGTCCCGGGACTGCTGTGCTGTGCAACCCGTCCTCGGACCATGTCCATTCAATCCAGCAGTCAATCCCAAACGCATTAATCAGTTTTAAAATTCTGTTCATTCAAAACAGAACTTTTCTTAAATATAAATTATTATTATATATTAGTATATTGTGCACATTTAGCCACTGGTTATGTTAGGTGTTTAGGTTCTGTTGGCAATTATTTGTATTTGTAATATGTGAGTGAAGCATTTACAGCGATGTAGTTCGAACAAAAGTCGTCAGTGAAGCACTTGTTCCGGGAGTGTTCGGACGTCAGCAGTTGTGAGTCGTGTGTAAACTGTTTTTCACTTATAAACAGGATGGGGTGGGGGGGGTGTGGCAGGTGCATGGAATGGACTTTGGGTCTTTGGAGGACAGGCTGGTGCTGTGAACCTATGGTTTTTGAGGCAGGTGTGTAAAACAAAGGTTCACATAACAGCTGTGCAATAATAAAAGTTCACATGACAGCTGCACAGCAAAGGCTCAGACAACAGATGTGAAAAAAAAAAAACTATTGAATGTAATGAAACGCCTATTTTGGGCAAGCCCAGGTGGCTCCCTGAAGTTATAATGCTGATCTAGTGCTAAACTACTACACACCATCAGCTGTAGAGTTCTTTTAGGCCTACCAGGGACCAAGAGCTAGAGCCTGGCCTCCTCTAACGGGGCAGAGACAGCAGTGGTACTATGATAAAACTGTCAGCGAGTTTTAATTGTGTCTGCCACCACCAGGAAAGCTGGGATGCTACGCCGGTATTCTTGAAAGCTCTACGTAAATTAACCCAGCCTAACCAAAACAGCTGGGAAAACCTACCTCAGCATGCGTGAAGCCCAGTACACCCCACCAACAAAGATGCTCCAGCTGGAGAAAAGACATACGCCTAAGACACCAGACTATCCCCAAGGCGAAGGCCACCACAAGTGAGCTAGACCTCTAAAGAAACGTCGCCCGAACACTCCAGGGAAGAAAACCTTGGCAGCTCAAGGGCAGCCCAAGGGAGCGCCCAGGAAAGGGAACCCTGAACACGGACAGCTCCAAGTGCTCAAAAATTCCTGGTCCACACACACAAAAGTGCAATGAATAGCCACCAAGGCAAAACACACCAAAGAAAAAACACTGGGAACAGAGAGAGACAATGGCAGACCCGACACCATTACATATCGGAAGAGAATTGACGAAGTTGCCTGTGAGCCGAGGCCTGCTGCCCACCCACCACCCTAGATGGGGGGAAAGAGTGGGGCAAATAAGTGGGCACTGGATTATAACATCTTCAATTGTATGTTTACATAATTTTTAGTTCTATGGCCATTTTGAGTCTGCAGGTCTCGGAGGCAGCTAGCTGTGGCTCCGAGACCTGCAGTGTCTCAGAGCCACAGTTTTGTCTCTCCGATTTTCTGGGTGCTTTCCTCGGCGGTGGTATAAATAAATATGATGGTTCCCTGCACCTCTGTGAGGAGGGGGGGGGGGGGGGGAGGCCAGGTTCTGGCTCTGGGTCCTGGGTAGGACAGAGAACTCTCCGAATCATGGCACCATCATCGGAGATAATAGGGAGCCACAAAGGGCTCCCCCCAAGAAAGGTTCACATAACAGCTGTGCAATAAACTAAAAGGTTCACATAACAGCTGTGCAATAAACTAAAATGTTCACATAACAGCTGTGCAATAAACCAAAAGGTTCACATAACAGCTGTGTAATTAACCAAAAGGTTCACATAACAGCTGTGCAATTAACCAAAAGGTTCACATAACAGCTGTGCAATAAACTAAAAGGTTCACATAACAGCTGTGCAATAAACCAAAAGGTTCACATAACAGCTGTGCAATAAACCAAAAGGTTCACATAACAGCTGTGCAATTAACCAAAAGGTTCACATAACAGCTGTGCAATAAACAAAATGGTTCACATAACAGCTGCATAATACGAGCTGTGTTCCAATACACAACAACCTTCATTCCAACTATAACAAACGTGTAACAATATGTTACACGACTCAGACTTCCATAGAATAAAAAAAAAAAAAACTGAAACTGTACCTACAAGATATTCACTTTCATTTTTTTTTGTTTCTACTTCATTTAATGAAGACTCGAGACACGAGCTGCTCGAGCCAACGTACTCGACTGCCTTTAAGCCTACTTAAACTACTTGTCAAGTTACAGTCCAGTATCTGTCTTCCTAGCATTATAAATTTCTCTTAAAGCCCAAACAATAGGGTTAGAATTAATGCGTAAAAAAATAATCATTACAACAAAATTCAGACATTTACAAGTTTTCCTTTTCTCCAGTTTGATATAAACAAATCTGCAGTTATTTTTTCTGCAAATAAATAACAAAGTCTTAACACACACACACACATAAAACATTTTATTTACGTACTATATTTTTAGTATGGCTCGTGACTTAAAGCTTCTATGCACAACACTTCCGAGTGTGTTCCATTGGACATGCATTGACGATTTATAATACAAACAGTAACAAAGTCGCACCAAACTTGTAAACATTACTCAACCTTCTCTCTGGTTGAGCTCATAGCCTCTTGAACCTTGCCTTTGATATCAGAAAATAACAGCGTCCCACCAAACACCAGCACTGTGCCTATCCAGTGACTTATTGTGAAGGGATTCTGAAAGTATATGATAGAGAAGGTGAGCGAGAGAAACTTGCGCAGCGTGAGAATGAGCGTCACCGTCAACGAGGTGCACTCCGACGTCAGAGTGAAGACCGAGCTGATACATACATATCTGTTTATTGGTTAAGGATATACACTTTAAAATGTTACCGACATTCACATATAATCTAAGGTGTTACATTTAGATACTTCTCAGGGTTAATAGTTTCAATACTCCTTTGAGCAGTCATATAGTAAGCCTTGCTAACATTCAGTAAAACTCTTGGCTACAAACCATTTGTGAAGCTTGTCTAATTATTTATTAAATATATTGTTAAGAATTTCAGTCTTTACTCGTGATATGTGAAGTTGTGTCATCAGCAAAAAACCAGTGTTCAATGTAATGAAATGCCTTGTTCTGATTGGACTTTGGTGGCTTCCTGATACTAGCTGCACTGAAATAGCTTCATACACGAGTTATATTAGCACCAGGAGTCCTAACACTTTAGCAGAGACCAGAGCTAGACACAGACCCCCCCATCCACATTCCTCACATGAGCACAGGAAGCTAGGGACTCTTCATATCAACCATTCCAAAGGAAACTTCCAGATGTGAAGCAAAACTGATAACTGCAAGGTTCACAAGGAAAGAACAAATCCACAAGGACCGTGACGAGGATTCGATCCTCATCGCATCACGCTAATGTGATTTCTGTGTGTAATGAAGTAAGGGCGAAGTGGGAGAACGGCCTATTGACATAGCTCGAGTGCATGGGGGAGTTGTGTAAAACCCTGGTTTGTGTCTCGGAGAGGCTGCAGGATCCAGCAAGTTCAGTAGAACTTTGGTTTCAACTCTCTTGACCATGTCGTAGCTCAGTCGATTAAGGCAGCGTCTGGGATGCTCTTGGACACAGGTTCGAATCCTCGTCACGGCCCTTGTGGACTTGTTCATTTGATGCATCACGCTAATATGATTTCTGTGTCTAGTTCACAAGGAAAGAGTAATGAAGGAGTTAGTGCTCTACAAACGATCCACCCAGTAGCAAGTTAGAATCCTCCCTAGTTGCAGCTAGCTACCACCAGGTGGCAGCACCCCCAGAAGCTGTTGGCTACCCTCTCAACACTATTTGGTCCAGAGTCTAACACCACAAATCAAGGCACAGGTATAAGGAAATTTTACCAAACATATTGCCCTGCCTAGGAACTAAACTTGGGTCCAAATGATTACAAGTTGAGCAGCCTGAAGCCTTTCCTTAGAAATGTAGAAGAAAATTATATAATAATTTAATTTACACGTTAAATCACACCAAAAAATGTGTCACCCCATTCCTTCCATTACATCTAAGACACAAAAAGGATACTGAGTGAGCATGTTGCCAAGGAGATAGACCCAGAGCCTGGGCAAGTGTGCAAGAACTGGGAGGGAGCCCAGTACTGGCAGGGATGGAGACGAGCTGAACTTGATGGCGTGATCCACTATGCTTCTCCAGGTCAGCAAGAACCCCGGCAGGGACAACGCATGCTGCAAGTACATATCACACGTCACATGTTTAAATATATTAAAAACCTAATGCAGAATATGCACACATCCTTCCAGACATGAGTATCTCTAAATAAGACATTACCTAAATCTAAGTCTTCACTATCATTACTATTATTACAGTACTGTACTGTGCTAAATTTTAAAGTTTAATTAAGCAGAAAACATCAGCCCAGAAAGGATAAGTTAGATAAAAAAAATACCACCAATCCATTCACGGCATCTTATACATTACATTGTAACAAAGAAAATCGGCACAATACATTTCTGGGGATTATTCTCAAATGCACCCCACTTCTTTATAACAGAAGGTGAATAGTATTCCTCTTATGTTATCACACTACACACATGACAATCAGCCCTCTTCACAAGCTGCTGCCTAGCATTAGCCCCTACATTTCCATTGTCACACTCAATCCCAGTTTTCTTTGCCATAGGATTAACAGACTTGGACTAGAGATGGCCCACATCATGACTTTATCCCAGGTTCTGTTTGGCCTCTACCAGTCACTCAAGGCCGAGATCAACAAACTGAGATAGCCGAAGCCGAAGAAGGCACAAGACAGAACGATGGAAACCTCCAGAAATATGAAGCTTCCGAGGACTCTGGTGGTACACACAGCCAAGATCAACAAACTGAAGGATGAAGCATGTTGTCTTAAAGAGTACAGGACACACTGAAGGAAGCAGATATCGGAGCAGAATAAGGTCTCAAGGCAAGCTAAAACAGTACTATACCAAAGGTCAAGAAGGACAGCTGGAAAGCATTAGGGTGAAGCAGAAATCCTCCCAGTTCTCTCTTCTGCAGGGGAATGTAGGCAAGGATGTGCAAGATTTGAAACCACTAAGTCACCATAGTGTGTTCCTCCCTACAAAACAGTTCCAGGATTACCTGAAAGAAACTCGTGCTTATTAGCAGGCCTTTGCAACTCTAGAGATGAGCCTTATCGTTCAGCTAACATATGTAGTAACGTAACATATCGTAGTTTATTATTACCCACCACTGGTGGTATAGGCTACGGACACCCCAACTTGTGGAAGGATAACCCCCCAGCAGGACTGATCAATATAATACAGTCCATTTGCATCATATAGTCCACTTAAATTAATTAAATTTTAAAATAGATTTCTACTAGTAATGTAACAGTACTCAAACAAACTCCTGCTGGGCAAAATTCCCCCACACATGGTGCTGCCACCTGCTGATATCACCGGGAAGAACCAGAGAAAACAAGCAACCCTCAAGCAGCACTAAAGGCGCATGGCCAAGGAACACTTTAAATATGTGTTGTGAAATACTCACTTCCTGCCACTCTAGTGTTTGGGTTCACCAAGTTCAGCCAAGCCCCTAAGACAAACAGAGGCTTGTCAACAAGATCAGGGAAATCATAAAATTGTCATCCACACTTCCATGGAAATAAACATTCCATTCACCTGGGTTCTAGGAGACTCGAACCGTGAACCCCATGTGTGTGTGTGTGAGGCCGAAGCTCTATCGACCGACCTATTGAGCAGTCTTAACAAGGAAAGTTTCCAGAAGCAGCATCCTGCTGCTAAGCTGGAATTTTTTTACTTTCCCCGACTACTACTGTACTTATTTCAATAACTCGGTCGACAGAGCTTCGGCCTCACATGCGTGGGGTCCAGGGTTCGAGTCTCCTGGAACCCAGGTGAATGGAAGGCAGGGAAATCATATTAGTCAAAAAGCCAAAGCCAACTGAACTCAAATGAGATCGAGTCAATCATAAAAACAAGGTCATGATCATTCAGGAGGAACTGAAATAGGTCAGCTATAGCTCGCAAACAGCGAATGGAGACTGGGCAAGTCAATCAATAACAATCTGTGCTCAACACCTACAGTTGGGGCTTACCAGGACCAAGGAGGATACCCTAGCACTAGGAATGCTCACCAAAGGACTATGCCAAGCACAGTCCTAAGGATAAACACGGTCATGATGGGCATCGGCTATGTATCATGTGTACCCCAAAACAATAAACCCCTGCACGTTCTCATCCACAGAGCCTCAGAGAAGTCAAGGGCCCCCCTCGCACTACTTAGGGGAAGATACCCTACACAGTAGTATGCCTCTCAGATGCACCAGAGAAATCACTGTCAGGGCCAATACCAAATGAGCACCTAGGGGCAGCCCTAAATACATGCAGCGCAATGTGAATCAAAACCAAGTCCACACAAGTGAGGCACGGAAAGATACGCACATAAAGCAAACATTAAACTTCGAAGCATACACAAGCAAATGGCCCCACCGGACTAAGTCCAAAGGGTGGTCTCACTTATCTGGGAAAAACTGGGACCCACTCAAGCTGATGGCTCAAGGAGCAGCTCGCACATACCTGTTGTCTACCTGTTGATGGTTCAAGGATTAATGTCCCTGTGGCCTAATTAGTAAAACTCTTTCCTGCCTAATGTACTAGTTATCCATAGTAACAAGGTACAAACGATCATAAGCAGATTGGATTTCATCTCCGGTACTGGCATCTGGACATGCACTACACTGGGGGGCCGACTTCACTGTATAATTAAAGTACAGTAGTTAGAAATAATTGTGGTGGGTAAACATTCTTGGACCACTACATGTGCACACATACACAACCCTGCATACTCACTATGTAGAAGAGAGCCTCCCGTGAGTGCTTGCCATGTCGGGAATAGAGGCATTCCTGGAATATCCCCATGCGAGCAGACATGAACAACGCAAATGTGAGGAGTCCAATCCCCATCAGCCATGTTACAAAATGAGAAAATTCAGCAGTGGCCTCATTGTCGTCATGCTTCTCCTAGAAAATTTGAAAAAAATATATTGTGAGCATGTGGTACTGTCTTAATACTTCCAATGAACCTGAAACCTAGAGTGCGCCATTATTACCTTCACCAGCGAGTCATGTCAAGGTGTTGTAAGAGTACAACACCCTTGTGTTGTACTGGTTATTTTGGCCGAGCTGCACACACCACTTTACACGTGGTGTGACAATGTTACAATGTTCATCTCGGTCGGGAGCCGGTCGGGAGCCATTCAGCCGAGCGAACAGCACGCTGGACTTGTGAGAGCTTGTGAGAGATCTTCTTGAGGTTATCTTGAGATGATTTCGGGGCTTTAGTGTGCCCGCGGCCCGGTCCTCGACCAGGCCTCCACCCCAGGAAGCAGCCTGTGACACCTGACTAACACCCAGGTACCTATTTTACTGCTAGGTAACAGGGGCATAGGGTGAAAGAAACTCTGCCCATTGTTTCTCGCCGGTGCCCAGGATCGAACCCAGGACCACAGGATCACAAGTCCAGTGTGCTGTCCGCTCGGCTGAATGGCTCGCGACCCGCTCCCGACCAAGATGAACATTGCTTCAGTTTATTGTCCAGTGATATTTAGAAAAGCATTTAAGTAGAGGATCAACCATCTTCAAGGAAACTATAGGTTTCACTAAGGGGAAAAAAAATACCTAAATATGTATATCACAAAGTCTTAAGCAAGCAGCATGCACAAACAAAATAATACTATATCAGCTGAGTACATAAAGTTAACAGACACAAGAACCAATTTTAAGAATCATAAAGAATCCCTCAGAGCAATACTGCCGGAAGCCTATGTTACACCAGTCATGGAGTGTGTGCAACTGTCATGGAACCCATAATCTAGAGAATAAAATAAAATAATTACTCACTATGTCCAGAAATTTTTCACAAGACTGATACTGGAAATGTGAAACCAGAGATATGAGGAAAGGCCTCGTGAGTTAACCAACCCGCAAATGACATACAAGAAAACTGTTCCTATAAAACAGAAGTGGCCTGATAAAGCCCCATACCGAGACCAGTACTATACTGGCATCAAAGTTTAGATGCTATAGACATCATACACCCCGTGCACACCATAAAGAAAAACATAACAAAAAAATTAACATTAGAGGTCAAGACAGGGAAAAACAGGATATAGACCCCGACTTCTCTCGAGATGACGGTTCAACTTGAACAGACCCAATGAAGGTACACCACACAGCTCAATGAGGAAAGGATCATCCACCCAACAGGTGGCACAGTGGAGGGTGTAAGAATGGCCAATGCCATGAAACAATATTAAGGTACATCCCTAAAACCTGCACTCAGCCAGTGCAGGCCGGTCTAGCCCACTCTACACCAAAGACTGCACAGGCTTACCAGGCCCTAAACGTCGAGACCAAACACAAAAGGCACTAGAGATGCGTGCCGAGAAGAACAGACACCAAACACAGCCCAGGGAAATTCACAACTGTGAAATGCATATATGACATGCCATAAAATGAGGCCACACACTCCTGGTACACCCCGAACAAAAACCCTGACCACCCCTAACCCTCACAGAGGAGTCACAGACCTGTGCATTACCCAGAGTGAGGCACCCTTCACAGGAGGGTTGATCTTTCAGGGACAAACACCTGAACTCACCAGGAGAGGTAATCCTGTCAGGGCAAGAGCAACATCAGCAAGCACCTAGGGCACAACCTTACATGGACAAACTACTCACCTCAAGTTGCAAGTTCACACAAATGAGGAATTTAAACACATGCTTGTAAATAACGAGAGGGGAAAAAAAAAAAAAAAAGACTCAGGAGTAGACATAGTCCCAACACTAATACCAGAAGCTTGTGTGAATAGGATAACAATAACATACGAGTTGTAGATATGTAAGAAAGTTCTCATTCCCTATAAGAGTGGTTGGCAAGTGGAATGCGGTGAAGGAAGAGGTTGTTGAAACCACTTTCATCCACAACTACAAGAAAATATGATGACAATTTAAATGTTGGGAGGGGTAATTAGTGGCAGGCATAAACAGCCAAGAGGCAGGGCATAAAGAGCTAGATTTCACTCCCTTGTTGTCATTGATCACCCCCCCCCCATAATCACTAGTTCATGAACAACCTAACTACCGGTTGCCTCACTTGCCGAGTTGTTTAGATTTGCCACGCTGCCGTCTGTTTTGTTATACCTTTCTGCCGACTGATTTCTCGGTGTGGATGATCAGTATCTCCTGCTCTCTGTGGAGTGGGCCAGGTTTTAGCCCCTGGTTTCCAGTAGGCTTTTAAAAACTCACAACAGCCTGATGGGACTTGACAGATGTGGAACTAACCAAGGCAGCTACCAAGAGGGAGACAGTGGTGGCCTTTCCAGAGATTGCATTTAATGAAACGTCCCTTTTCTGGGTGGCACCTTGGTAACTCCCTTAGTTTACTTCCCATGGAACCACATCCAGGACAATATCTTTATGAAATAATGCAAATGCATAAAAATGAAAGACAAATCTGGAACACATAAAGAGGACTTATCCATAGTGGTTGATGTCCTGAACATTTAGACCCAAGGATGGAAGACTTCCTCAGGGATGGGGAACACAGCTCAAAGCCACCGACACACGACATGCAAGAGAAACAACTTATAATACTAAAAACTTAATATTTGCCAAGAGCCACAATCGTTGACAATCCCAAACACCAACAATCTAAGCAAATTTAAGGCTTTCTAAATGCATACAGTACTTTCAATTTTATTCTACTTTATCATGATTCAAGAAGGGTAAATATTAAATTATAAATCAACATATTAATTGCAAACCAATCTTGAGATGAACAAAGTGCATTAGCAATGTCTTACCACAGTTTCTGCAGAAGCGAAGGTGCAAATAATGGTGCCGACGGTGATCATTGCGACAGAAACATACTTGGTGAGGGTGTAGCGCCGCCCCAGCACCACAATTGCCATTATCATGTTAGCAATGAGCCCTCCCTGCAAATTGCAACAATCAATTATTTTAAAATGACACAATTATCACACAAAAAATTAGTAAAGTGTAACGAAGCGGTCTTTTCTGAGGTGTGCCTCTGTTTTCCCTTATCTTAACCACTGGGCGGCTCAACTATTAATAGCTGACAACACTGCTGTGCACAAGAAAAAACTGTCAAATATTTTTTCCTTCCAAGATTGTTAAAATGTGTTCCCTGATCATGGAAAAAATAATTAAAAAATAGTACATATTTTGGCCGTAATAAGGCGAGGAAATCTGGCAAGATCCAAACGCTGAAAGAGTAGACAGTCCGGGGTCGGTCTCCTCCACCCGAGCCATCAGGCGGGAGTTGCTACAAAGATATTATTACAGTGGTACCTTGGTTTACGACGGCCCTAGATAACTATTTTTTTGGTAATACGATGTCAAATTCCTCATGAAATCCGAGTTGACGTACGACGTTTGCCTTGGAATACAATGTCTGTTGATACTGTACTTGTATGGGTCAAGCAAGTGCATGATTCTACTGGGCGTTGGCAAGGCACTGTTTCACGCCTCCTTGAACCCCTGAAGGCAGCAAGAGGTTCACAAGTATTGTACCTATTGGCATTAGTTATTCTCAACAGTAACAGCCAGTGCTAAAATATATTTTTAAATATATTGTATTCATTAATTACCATAACACATTATCTTTGAATTCATATAAATAAAGCTCAACCTTTTCTTGGGTAAACTAGACACTACCACATACAGTATATACCTGTACTATGAGAGCAAAAATATATACTTTTCAAGCACTGCATCAAATTTTTTGAAACATATCATTATTAGTAAAAAAGTACAGGTATATACAGTATAATGTCTATATAAAAGATAGCACATTATTTGTAATAGTGTATACTATATATTTCCACCCACCTTATTAAAAAAAAAAAAAAAAAAGAGACTACAAACCTTCAATACTTATAGACACCTTTGTACTCAAGAAACCCTTGGAAAAAAAGCATCATAAATAATGAAAAATATAAGAGTATATGACGTAAGAGTCATACAGTATATGACTCACGCTGCGGAAGATCATATGAAGAGGCATGGAGATCTTGAAGCCAAAGGCCAAGTTGTTGGAGACGTTGACAATGAAGAACATCACCACCAGCACTAGATAATCTCTGTAACAAAATAAAGACCTCTTAAGTATGACCATTACTCAGGTACAGTACCTGGCACCATATTAAAAGTCACATTGCCACACCAAGATTACTGTAAAGAACAGCACTAATGAAAACATAAAGAAACTCGAGCAATGATTGATGACTATTGTGATGCTTTTATAGACTTGGTAAATCCATGTAAATTTACTTTGTAAATAAGGTCTAGTGACACACTGTAAGGAAGGGGAGGCCATTTTAAGTGCCTTTTCTTTTAAAAAGAATAGTATAATCTGTTCTGAGTGCATTTGAAAATACTGCCAAGACAGCAGCAGGCATGCGATGCATGGAAGGTACTGTACATGTATATTCATCCTGTGCGAGACGTTCCCACTCCGAATAGATTAAAACACCCAGTATTGAATGAAAATAAAACATCTCCTTCTGTAGGAGCCCCGAGGGCTCCCTGAAGCTATCTTGCCGAGATGGCTCCATACTAAAAGGTCACATATATTTTGTGTTCGGCCTACTGGGACCAGAACCAGAGTCTGGGCCCCCTCGCAGAGGAGCCGTGAGTGGGGAACAATTTGTCACCCCACCAGAAAAAGACTCCACAAAGTCAACACAGCTTTATAGGTAACTAGAAGGTTCCTAGAATATAAAACCTCAAAATTGCCAAACAACTCTGCAAACAATTAACACAGAAGAGATTCACTCAAACTAACATATATTCCTATATATGTTAGGAATATATAGAGCACATATATGTTCTATATTAGGCCTCAGATAACATGTATTAGTCCTAGGATGGCTGGTCAACAAGGCTGTTGGATGCGGCTGCCAACAGCCTGACATATGAATCACGGGTTGGTCGATCAGGTATCCTTTAGAGGTGTTAATCGGGGAGTCTCGCTTGAACACCGCGAGACGCCGGCCAGTTATGCCCCTTGTGTGAAGTGGAAGAGTGTCAAAACGCCTTGGGCCTTTGACGTTGATAGAGTTCTCTCTCAACATACCTATCATACCTCCGATTTCAATGGGGCTATTTTGCACATCCTGCCATGCCTACTGGAGTCATGTGATGATATTTCCGTGTGCAGATTCGGAACCAGTTCCTTTAATATTTTCCACATGTAGATTATTATGCATCTCTCACCTGTGGTCTAGAGAATACAGATTTAGAACTTTTAATCAGTCTCAATAATTTTGATATTTTACAGAGTGGATTCTAGCCGTAAAGGATCTTTGCACGCTCTCCAAAACAGCAATTTCTCAAGCTCTCAATGGGGCTATTAGTGTGCAACAATATTCCACCCTAGAGTTCAATAGTGTCTTGAAAATTATCATTTGGATGGCATCCCTTGTTTGAAAGATCCTTATTATCCAACCTGTCATTTTTCTTGCAGATGTGACAGCTACTTTATTGTGTTCTTTATAGGTAGGGTCTTCCGACATGAGTGCTCCTAGAACATCTTACATTAAACACCTATCCTATAAAACACAATACATCACTGAACAAATCTACAAGGGCTGTGACGAGGATTCGAACCTGCGTCCAAGAGCATCCCAGACACTGCCTTAATCGAAATTTGTTCATTTGATGCATCACATTATTGTGATTTCTGTGTGTTACATCATTTATTTATTTATATACAAGAAGGTACTGTATACTGGGTTGTGAAAGTACATACCGTACATTGGTGATTGAATGATACATTCTTGTAAAGCCAGTAACATGTATAGTGTTTTGGGCAGTAGATTTACTCACCTGACAGGTACAACATTCTTCTTCTTGCCAAATTCTGCTGTAAATAAGAAGCCCTCTAAAGCAATGAAGATGAACTGAGCGAACGTGATGATATTTCCACTGCCTGGCTGCTCCCTGCAAAGGCACCAAGTGTATATTAGTCTTCCTCTCCAACATTTCACCCACAAGACTACTTGTGCATATTAACTTTGGCTGATAATATTAAATTCAATGTTGGTCATGAAGGTGGTCCTGCCACCTATAGGGAATCAGCCAAGACCAAAGTACAGAAAACAATATATTTTTGATCTTGTCCCCCAGTGCTTCAAAGACCAACATTAAAAGTGCCATTAGTTTTCTTAAGAATTTGGACTCTAGGCTCCTTAAAACAACAGAGACCTAAGACATGCCTGCTATCTTTTCCAATACATATATTCAGTGTGGCAATAGAGGCAAACAGCACATAGCATATGACAAAGTGCTGGGAAGACGGGGCACCACAAGTGTACCTCTCATCCTGTAACTAAACTTAGGTAATTACAAGGAGGTTTCCCTGTCCACCGATGGTGGTTTTACAAAGTTTTACCAAGTGTACAAATCCACAAAGGGCTTGATGAGGGTTTGAACCCTCATCAAAGTCCATGTGGATTTCTTCATTTGATATATTACGTTCCTTTGATTTCTGTGTTTATTTTACCAAATGTGTTACCCACAGTTTGATTGGCCCAGTCTCCATACCCTTACCTTGTACCCCTATCCTTTTATCATATGTTTATACTCCTTCCGATCCCATCACCTCACCCCTTACTCCTTTGACCCTTTCACATGTTTGGTTAACCCAAAATTGTACCTCGTGTAGTCATTCTTTACCTGAAGATGTTCCAGAGAGGAATGAAACATTATAGCAAATAAATCCTTCAACAATTACAAGTTTTTTTACCATGAATTTTGGTAGCTTGACTGCTGTTCTTAATACCGATACAAAGAAAATAGTTAGAAGCATAGAAAGCTTACACTATAATTATAGATCACCAATGCTAGCAATGTGGTCATATTTAACCAAAAATATAATATTACAGTATTTTGTGATGAAGTCTGACATTTTCAGTCCAACATATTCAGCTTAAATTTCTTAATGTACAACTACAATGAACAATCTCTGCATTGATTTCCTGCAAGAAGTTTTTCTTTTTTGGTATTTATTTATATATACAAAAGTTTTTACATTCCTGTACGTCATTAGTCGGCTATGTTGCAGTGCATACAAATGAATTGCAAACTGTTACTAGTTCTACAACATCCAGAGTGCAACTGCCCTGAACTCACTTGACAAGAAGCTCAAGAAAGACAACATTGGTGCAGCAGCCGATGAACACAAACAGAATAGGAATTGCAGCCCCCATGACGGCTAAAGTCACTCGGATCAACTCTGAAAAGAGAGAATATAACCATTAATTATATTTTGTGTAGAACTCAAATTTATGCAATTTTATTTATTACGCAAGCTATGAGAAATAATGAGTTAAGAGCCGAAATAATGGCCAAACCACACATCAGACGATGGAGAGACTTTGACATTTCGGTCTGTCCTGGATCATTAACAAGTCGTGTGAGAGAGGGAGTGGATTGATTGAAGATTAAGCCACCCAAGAGGTGGCACGGGGCATGAATACCCCATAAGGGGGCGAGTGGATGTTGTCGTCGTTTTAGATTAAGCTACTCAGAACAATAAGTTCCAGTAGCACGGGCTATGGTGAGCCCGTAAGGCGAGTGGAAGGAACGGGCCAATAAATAAGGCGAGTGAGGTGAGGAGCAAGTAATTTTTAGAAGGTAAGGTGTAAAATGAGGAGCAGGTAGAAGAAGATAATTATTAGAACAAGGTAAGAGTAAGGTGAAAGGTAAGAATAGGATGAAAGGTACGAATAGGTTGAGTGTAAGAATGGGATGATGGAAGAATAAGATAAGAATAAGAAGAAGGTAAGAAAATTAAAAAGGGAGTAGGCATACATCAGGCCCTGTTTGTTAAAAAGGTTAGAGTATTTAAGTATGTACAGTACTGTGAAAGGGAAGAGCCCGCAGCAACACAGCCAGGACTACGGTCCATGTTGGGTACGTTGTGTATCAGAGCCGATGCAACAAGATGGCGTCTGTCAAGAGCAGCGGCAGGAAAGATTATTTTAGAAGACCAGTCTACATAGGATGATTAGAGCTCCTAATGTGACAGAAGAGAGCATCGTTTGTGTCTGCAAACCTAACACTTCTTTAGTCTGTCATTTAGTGTACGGCCAGATTCCTTGGTGAAACCCCCCCATTCTCATAAACCAGACTACCAGCCCCCCCCCCAATTCTCATAAACCAGACTACCAGCCCCCCCCCCCCCATTCTCATAAACCAGACTACCAGCCCCCCCCCCATTCTCATAAACCAGACTACCAGCCCCCCCCCCATTCTCATAAACCAGACTACTATCATACTGGCTGGTGTACCCACTCAAGGGCTGAGGGGCCTCGTAGCCTGGTGGATAGCGCGCAGGATTCGTAATTCTGTGGCGCGGGTTCGATTCCCGCACGAGGCAGAAACAAATGGGCAAAGTTTCTTTCACCCTGAATGCCCCTGTTACCTAGCAGTAAATAGGTACCTGGGAGTTAGTCAGCTGTCATGGGCTGCTTCCTGGGGTGTGTGTGTGTGTGTGTGGTGTGGAGAGAAAAAAAAAAAAAAAAAAAAAAAAAAAGTAGTTAGTAAACAGTTGATTGACAGTTGAGAGGCGGGCCGAAAGAGCAAAGCTCAACCCCCGTAAAAACACAACTAGTAAACACAGTGCCAGGGTTGTCTGGCTGGCCACCTGCTCCAAGGTACACATCTATAGGTTGACTGCAACAATTGTTAATACCAGCATGAATTGCAGTAACAGTACCCACACGAGCCGCAGCGACGGTGCACCCCCCACACGAGCCGCAGCGACGGTGCACCCCCCACACGAGCCGCAGCGACGGTGCACCCCCCACACGAGCCGCAGCGACGGTGCACCCCCCACACGAGCCGCAGCGACGGTGCACCCCCCACACGAGCCGCAGCGACGGTGCACCCCCCACACGAGCCGCAGCGACGGTACACCCCCCACACGAGCCGCAGCGACGGTACACCCCCCACACGAGCCGCAGCGACGGTACACCCCCACACGAGCCGCAGCGACAGTGCACCCCCCACACGAGCCGCAGCGACGGTACACCCCCCACACGAGCCGCGGCGACGGTACGGCGACGGTACACCCCCCACACGAGCCGCAGCGACGGTGCGCCCCCCACACGAGCCGCGGCGACGGTGCGCCCCCCACACGAGCCGCGGCGACGGTGCGCCCCCCACACGAGCCGCGGCGACGGTGCGCCCCCCACACGAGCCGCGGCGACGGTGCGCCCCCCACACGAGCCGCGGCGACGGTGCGCCCCCCACACGAGCCGCGGCGACGGTGCGCCCCCCACACGAGCCGCGGCGACGGTGCGCCCCCCACACGCCCCCCACACGAGCCGCGGCGACGGTGCGCCCCCCACACGAGCCGCGGCGACGGTGCGCCCCCCACACGAGCCGCGGCGACGGTGCGCCCCCCACACGAGCCGCGGCGACGGTGCGCCCCCCACACGAGCCGCGGCGACGGTGCGCCCCCCACACGAGCCGCGGCGACGGTGCGCCCCCCACACGAGCCGCGGCGACGGTGCGCCCCCCACACGAGCCGCGGCGACGGTGCGCCCCCCACACGAGCCGGCGACGGTGCGCCCCCCACACGAGCCGCGGCGACGGTGCACCCCCCACACGAGCCGCGGCGACGGTGCACCCCCCACACGAGCCGCAGCGACGGTACACCCCCACACGAGCCGCCCCCCACACGAGCCGCAGCGACGGTACGCCCCCCACACGAGCCGCGGCGACGGTACACCCCCCACACGAGCCGCAGCGACGGTACACCCCCCACACGAGCCGCAGCGACGGTACACCCCCCACACGAGCCGCAGCGACGGTACACCCCCCACACGAGCCGCAGCGACGGTACACCCCCCACACGAGCCGCAGCGACGGTGCACCCCCCACACGAGCCGCGGCGACGGTGCGCCCCCCACACGAGCCGCAGCGACGGTACACCCCCCACACGAGCCGCAGCGACGGTGCGCCCCCCACACGAGCCGCGGCGACGGTGCGCCCCCCACACGAGCCGCGGCGACGGTACGCCCCCCACACGAGCCGCAGCGACAGTGCACCCCCACACGAGCCGCAGCGACAGTGCACCCCACACACGAGCCGCAGCGACAGTGCACCCCCCCCCCACACGAGCCGCAGCGACGGTACCCACAGGAGCTGTAGTAACAATACCCACACGAGCTGTAGTAACAGTACCCACACGAGCTGTAGCAACAGTACCCACAAGAGCTGCAGCAACAGTACCCACACGAGCTGTAGCAACAGTACCCACAAGAGCTGTAGTAACAGTACCCACACGAGCTGTAGTAACAGTACCCACACGAGCTGCAGCAACAGTACCCACACGAGCTGCAGCAACAGTACCCACAAGAGCTGTAGCAACAGTACCGGCACGGGTGACCAGGCGCCGCCTCCACTACAACTGGACTGGATGTAAACAAACAGACTCACATGCCCCGCGCTCATTGGTTCCTCTCCTCCGTCTCTCATTGGCTGAGCGTTCCCTGCTCTCCTCCTATTGGTCCACTTAATAATGTACACAGCCACCCCATATATAAACACGATCAATGATTGATTGATTGACAGGATCAAATTCACCTGAATTTACCTGAGGGGCTACCATGTATCTAGTGGCTTCAACGGGGATAGAAACCCGGCTGCTTATCAATGGTTCTCCCCCCCCCGCACCCCATTTTCGCTTCACTTTCCACAAATAAGACAAAAGCATACATTCATTATATCAATTTACTTAGTTATTTATTGTATTTATATATATACAAGAAGGTACAATGGGTTTACGAAAGTACATGGCATTGATGGTTTTACATTCTTGTAAAGCCGCTAACACGCATAACGTTTTAGGCAGGTCCTTAATTTAACATAATTTTAAGTAAGTAATTTCTTGTAAAATTGAGATATGTTAACAGGTACAGTGTAAGAAAAGTTGGCGATTATCATTTATTACCATAAGGACCTATCATGCACAACATTTATCAAATCTGGACACACCCATGGAGAGTATATATTTTCCTAGTTCAGAATGAAGAGGATAGGAAGCCGCCGCGTTTCCTGTCCCCGACGAGGACAGGAAGCTGGCGGCTTGTCTAAGGTCTCCCCATTTGCCTTGCCCGAAACGCCGTGCGTATTAGTGGCTTTAGGCATTGTATGTACTAGCTCTGTCTAGAAATCCAGCATTATGTTTGTAACTCATCTTATATGTATGTACTTTTAGCGGAATAAACATTCGATTTGATTTTAATGATCTTTTCCAGCTGTTCTTTAAAAGTAAACGGAGTTTTGGCATTTATGGCTTCGGCGGGTAGGCGGTTCCATGGGTTAATAACCCTGTGGGTGAAAAAAAAAGCCTCTCCTGTTCAACTCCAATCTTAGATACTTAAGAGGAAGGAACAAGCTTAACAAAAACCAATTCAAATTACCTGGAGACTTCAATACTGACCTTCGCCAGCCTCATAACCTCCTAGTTACCAGCTTTCTCGCAGGCCAAGACACACCTCAAGATGTTATACCACTAATGACGTTGTTGTAGAGGTGGGTTGAAGTAGCCTAAGCTACTTATTTATTTATTTATTTTATTTATTTATTTATTTATATACAGAAAGGTACATTGGGTTTGTGAGAATACATAGTATTTACAATCTTTTCCCTTTTCACAGTATATACTTAAATGCTCTAATCTTTCTAACAAACGTGACCTAACATAAGCTTGCCCTTCTATTTCTTTCTTTCTCTCTTTTCTGTTCTTTGTTTTCTTTACGTTCCCTTACTATCCTCTTCTTATTCCTATTACTATCTCCTTCTCATTCGGTGGTTATAATTGGAGCTGCCTCGTATGGACCAATAAACCCTCTGCAGTTCTGATTCTTACTACTATCTCCTCTACTACACTTTGCTTCTCACCTCTCTCTCTAGCCTATTTATTGCCTATCATATCAATCAATCTTCCTCTTCACAATCGACTTGAGAATGGTCCAGGACGGACCGAAACGTCGTCGTCCCTTCACCTTCTAGTGTGTGGTCTGGTCATCGTACATTGTGGCTTGCTGAGCTTGAAACCGTTGCTCCTTGTATGTTATATCTGACCTTTTAAAGAAATTGTCTGGATCAACATCCTCCAAAATGTTCAGTATCTTAAGTTTCAATGAGATCTGCCCGAAACTGCCCGAAACGCTTTGCGTAATAGTGGCTTTAGGCATTGTATGTACTAGCTCTTATCTATAAAGCCAACAAACTTTGTAAAATCTCTTTATGTACCTTTGCCTAAATAAAAATTATTATTATTATTATTATTATCTGACCTATCATGCCTGGTCTGCAGCGCTGTTAGCCTTGAGGCCCTCAATCGTTCCTCGTACGTGAGTTAACTTGGCTCTGGAATGATTTTTGTTGGTCAGTGTTGCACTTTCTCGAGATCAGCTATACCCTTCTGAAGATGAGGTCTCCATGCTTGGATACAGTAATACCAAACGAGTTTCCTCCAAGCTTCAGAAAAAAAAGCTTTCCTTATTCAGACTTCTACTCATTCATTCATTCCTCAATCCAAGACTGTTGGTAGGGTTGCTGGTCTGAGATTAAAGGTAACAAACTACGCATTTAAAAAATGTACAGGTAGGAGGGAAGGCCATATTTCCTTGCCTTACTCCTATCATACTGTAATAGACACTGGGGAATGGTTTTAGCTGGGTTACGTATTGGTCATACATGCTTAATTCATAGACATCTCCTCAGCTTGATGCCTTCTTTTGATAATTACTTACCTAATTCAGCAAAGTCCACATAAACTACCAGAATTCCTTTGTCTGAATAACTGGTTACCATTTCCAAAAAATGTGAGCAAGTTTGTAAGGCAGGAACTATTTTTTAACACACTCATGTTTCAGTGATTTTACAAGATTGTTCACTGAGATGGTGAATGATTCCCTCCCTTAGGATTGTCTCCATGAACATGCAGATGTGTGGCGTAAATACAAGAGGAACAGAGGGAAAGATAAAGACAGGAAAGGGTGCAAGTGCACGAGTTAACATGAGAAGGTTCACCTGAATTCAGAAGAGATAACGAAGAGGAGAGGACGAAAGGTTAGAGAACGCAGCTTCAGATGTTTGTCAGATCATCACCCTAGAGGGCATGCCGACAGTCAATATCTCCCAAAAGGAATACCGTCACAAATTATAATTTTGTCCTGACCTGCCCTGATGATGTCCATAGACACTTATTTGAATCTGGGGATTCCCATGTTACTTTTAGCCCTACTTGGACTGGTACATGTGTAGATGCAGCCTCTTCTCAGGAGGTGGACGCTCACCTTGCTGCTTTGTCCTGCCTTGGTGAGACCTGGTTCACGTGTCTTAAAATACCCTGTTTGCAACTGGTGAGTGTGACCTCAAAGATTGTATATTAAATATATCCTCAAGGCCCAGAGCTTTTCTATCCTCCAGATTGACTCCTTCATTTGTTCCCCTCGTGGTTGTCGCAGCCTTTGAGGTCACGATCACCAGTTGCAAACAGGGTATTTTAAGACACCTGAACCAGGTCTCACCAAGGCAGGACAAAGTAGCAAGGTGAGCGTCCACCTCCTGAGAAGGGGCTGCATCTACACATGTACCAGTCCAAGTAGGGCTGAAAGTAACATGGGAATCCCCCAGATTCAAATAAGTGTCTATGGACATCATCAGGGCAGGTCAGGACAAGATCATAATCTGTACTTAGGACATGTAGCAGGGCCGAACAAATCCTGGAACGTAGCAGAGGAAGCCGGAAACAAACATGTATGAGCGTGGTGATGGTGCCGAGGACCTACAAGGAGGGGGAGGAATGGCACAGCTGTTACAGTGGAAGAGGGAGCCACATCAGGGGATGAGGTAGTCACCACATCCCTCAAGCAGTACTGGTGCCATGCCAGGACCCTCCATAAAGGTCATGTACAGGGTCCTCAAGCAGTGCTGGTGCCATGCCAGGCACCAATCCTGTATATTCTTGTAACTGCTAGTTCCAAATTTATTTACAGTAAATAATACTACATCAGTTAGAGTATGACGGAGAAAGAATCTCTGAAGAAAGATTGACAAAGCTTAATTTACAATCTCTAGAAAGGCAAAGAATTAGAAGTTACAGGATAGAGGTGTTCAAGTGAATGAATGGGCATAACAAAGGGAGATATTAATAGGGTATTAAAAGTATCAACACAAAATGGAACACTAAACAATGGGTATAATTTAGAAAAGTTTAGATATAGGAAAGACCTGGGTAAATACTGGTTCAGTAACAGAGTTGTTGATTTGTGGAACCAATTACCGAGTAACATAACAGAAGTAGGATCCCTTGATTGCTTGAAGCGTAGGTTAGACATACTGTATATAGGAATGAGATTGGGTGGATATAAATAGGAGCTGCCTGGTATGGGCCAATAGGCCTTCTGCAGTTACCTTCATTCTTATGTTCTTATGATGTTAAAAGGCTTAGTATTGTACTGTACAGTATTACAACTGCATTCTGTAGACATTGGGTTAACTAGAGCAGCCGGTATTACAAAAAGTACAAAAATATTTTCTTGTGTATTTATTGCAAATATATTTTATAAACAATTTCATTGTTTATGCTATACACTATATTATTTATGTATCTAAATATGTAGAAACATGAATTTAATAATTTTCTACTAGAAAACTAAACAAAATTTAAAGATAAACCTCTCAAAAATTTGCAAGGATGTCATTTTCATGCAAAAAAATTGCAGAGTATTTTTCAGAGGCACCAAAAGAGTGTGCAAAATTATTTACTTTTAAATCTTCCCAGACTTCACCTTGTAATGCCAGAGTCCGAGGCAAACATTTTGGAGATAACCAGTCTATAAAAATGAGTATATTGTCTGTCACTAGTGACAAGCAGGAGTGTAACTTGGCCAGAACATACACCACACTGCCAACTCAAACACTTCAATTACTTTCAGTACATATAATTCAGAAATAAATCATCAACCAAATACATCTAATAATTAAAGTATTCAATAAGCAAACTTTGAACAATTTAGAGCATGGGCAAAAATTACAAAAAGTTTTTGGTGGTGATTAAGTATCGCTGATCACTAGGACTGCAGCTGGTGACCAAAATCCTGATCACCTTTTTTTAGTTTTTTTCAACAAAATTAATGGAAATTAGTAAATGGTGAATTACAAGCTGATTGTATGATTACATATTTAAAATTATATTATGCAGTGTGACTGAATCACACAACAGAGCAATAACCAAACCCCACATCAGAAAATTAAGAAACAACGATATTTCAGTCCATCCTGGACCATTATGAAGTCGTGTGATAGAGGAGAGGAAGGAATAGACAAATCAATATGGCAAGAGAACGAGATGAGAGGTCGAAAGGCGGTAAGAGAAAAAGGCAAGAATAGGATCAGAATAAGAGGTAGGTAAGAATAAGAAAAGGGATAAGCTCTTTCATTCTTAAGTTGATCACATTTGTTAAGGTTAGAGTATTTTAGTATATACCATGAAAGGGTCACAGATATATACTGTCAACAACAACAACAAAGCCAGGACTAAGGTTCATATTAGGCATGTTGTTAATCTGTCCTGGACCATTAGCCACAACCTGATAATGGTCCAGGTTGGACTGAAACGTCGTTTCTTCATTCTCCGTCGTGTGGTTTGGTCATCATATCTTCAGCCACGTTACCGAGACTCATCGTCTGCACATAACAGAGTATTATACCTACAGTGTAAACTGCATTATGTAGGGTTCCCATTATGTGGGTTCACTCCATGTCTGGTCAAAATGTGACATTTCTCACGTACACTACCAGTACAGAACGGAAAAAAAAGAGGTGAGTGATGTCTCATATGACCAGCTTCACTGGCACTGATATGTACATGTACAGCAGAACCTTATTTAACTTTGCTCAGGCTGGCCACCAGCTGTGTTGAGGGAGGAGGAACTGTGAGAGGAAGTAGTAGTGACTGGTCTTCGTAATATGTGCAGTTTGCATGAAGGTATGTCCTCCCGATGACTGCACAGTGACTTGGCACCAGCTGTGTTGAGGAGGGAGGAACTGTGAAATGAAGTAGTGGTGACTGGTCACCAATCGTGTTAAGGAAGGAGGAACCGAGAGAGGAAGTAGTGGTGGCTGGTCACCGTGTTGAGGAGGGAGGTACTGTGAGAGGGAATACTCACCAACTATCGACTACTGAGAGATACAACAGCGAGACGGAGTGGGGGGGAAGGGGGGGCTGGTCACCAACTGTACCTCAATCTTTAACACATACATTTAGTGATGTACAGAATATTATTTTTGCGAAACAACAGAGTGATTTATGTAGTTGTGTACATAATGTAAGCCAAGTTCTCAAACATGCCTCCTTTGGCCCCCTGGAATGACAAGGCAGCACCTCTCTAAAGTCCTAAGTCAAAATTTATCATTTCCTATATACTTTTTTGTACTTCCATTAAAAACAATTACAGTACAGGAATTTTTGTCATGTGTACCCATTAAAATATAAAAACATAAGTGTCATATTATTTATATCAAAAAGGCCAAAAATGTGGCAAAGTTGCAAAATCCCGATTGGTCATTATGCAAATATTCTTTAGCATGCATTAATCCATACAAGAGTTTTCACTGTTCTACTAGAGTGCTTCAGTGCCTCTAATGTTTCATTTACACTCTTCATCACATGTTACAGTTATTAAATTTAGCAATAATAGTACTACAAACTAACAGGATATAGTACTGTTAATCATAAACCAAGTACTGTATTATGAAATAAGAAAGTCCTTCACATTCACAGATACTCTTAAACTGATTGACATTTCAGGCTGATGACTGACAATAACTTTTTGTGTCAATTATTTTTTTGCCACACATGGCACAAATGCCCTTCTTGTAAGCACAACCCTGGCAGAAGTTGGAGCCAGCCTGGTGAACCTTCGTCCGGCAAATTCGACATTCCACAAATTTAGTCTGAAACAGAACAATAACCGAGTATGTCACAAAGAATGTACAGCAATATGACAACAATATGTACAGTGAGAACCAGTTTGAATGGAATTATTTGTTATGAACCTTTCCCCATTGCCCCTCACTAATATTATTGTATCTTATTTTGGTTCTTTCACTATTTTAAATCCACAATTATGTCTCATTTTGCAAACAATAAACCCAGTGTTGAATATAAGAAGACTCCAATTTCCGAGCTATTTCACCGAGATGACTCCCAATTATTAGATCGCATCAATCACGGAGTTCTTTTCAGCAAATTGGGAACCAGAGCCAGAACCTAGCACCCTCACACAAGCACAGGAAGCAGGTGACACTCCACCAGCAAGGGCACTTAGGTACAGAGCTGCATCAAGCACACATCCCAGGAAAAGAGTGGGAACAAACAGGCAGTCAATGAGTGGCTCAAGCACTTGGGCTGGACGGTAGAGCGACGGTCTCGCTTCATGCTGGTCGGCGTTCAATCCCAGACTGTCCAAGTGGTTGGGCACCATTCCTTTTCCCCGGCCCATCCCAAATCCTAATCCTGACCCCTTCCTAGTGCTATATAGTCATAATGGCTTGGCGCTCTCTCCCGATAGTTCCCTTCCCCTTCAAAAGAAGGACCGTCCAAAAACACCTGTACCACAGTCACCACCTCTCGCCACTCAAGCATCCAGGAATGACAAAAACTGTTCCAAGCCCCGAAGAAAAAAAAGCGTTGAATGTAATGAAACACCAATTTCTGGGTGCCCTAGCTCTGCCAAATTGTCTCGAAACGTGAGGACGATCCCAAAGACACAGGAAGAGTCCGACAACAGACAGCTAGCGGTAGCTGAAGAGGACAAGAACTGTTCCACAAAAAGATGAGGTGGAAAGAAGATCCTGCAACAACAAACCCCGCGCAGAAGGCACAAAGGCCCAGGCAGGAGCAAAAGGAGTCTGACCACTCCAAGCGAACTACCCCCCCGAGACCCAGAAACCCCTGGCACAGTCCCCGGGGCAGAGCCCGCATCCAAGCCCATTACCCTTGAAGAAAAGGCAGAGTCCAAGGAAAACGCTTCAAAGAGAGGAGTCTGCTGGGCCGATTCTGAAACTTCGGCGAGGAAATCTGGCTCAACCTCCGTCTTCGCGTCGGAAGGGGCAACCCCTGAAGCCACGTGAGCCTCATTACCAGCCAAACTGTGCCACAGCTCAGAAACCCTCGGACATTTAGGAGCCGGAAGCAGGAGGAAAGGAGCAGGGCGAACAACACTGACCTGTGAAGGAAGCAAGGGAGCAGACGGAACCAAGATTGTAATAACCAACGCCCATAAATCCTGGTCCCTAAAATCCAAATGGGACAGCTCGGGGCTTCCAACCAGACAATCTACATGGCCCGTTACAACATGGAATACCTAGAATGCAACCAAGCCACCACCTGACCCCTAGCATCCTCAGACAAGGAATGAGTAAAAAGAAAATAACAAGCGGGGAAACAAAGTCTCGCATGATTCAGGGTCATAGGTGTCACCGACCCAACTGGCAGCATGACAGAGGCAGGACAGATGATCATCACCATGAGACAAAGGCAACGAACACCCCTCAGCATCGCATAAGGCGAGACAGGGCTCTGAAGACACACCCATGGTACCCCCCCAAGCCCCACAGGGATTTCCAAGGTCTGTAGGATGTGTAAGCCCCGTCTCGCCTATACGGGAATACTGTACACACAGAAATCACAATACAGTAGCGTGATATATCAAATGACCAAATCCACAAGGGCCGTGATGAGGAATCGAACCTACACCCGGGATGATCCCAGACGTGCCTTAGTCAACTGTGCCACGACATGGTTAAAAGAATTGAAACCTAGAGTGCTACTGCCCTCAAGAGGAAAATTCATTTCTATATAGGCAGCCCAAGCACTGGGGCCAGCCAAGATGGTAAGCCCTGTCTGCTACAGGCAAACTGGCTATTGTCACCGTAAAACCTAGGGGCAACAGAGGAGGACTACCAAACACAATCTAGGCTAACCAAATGGGAAGCTAGGCAAACCTCCTCTGCCAAGTAAGGAAAAATGCACTAAAAAACAAAGAAACAAAGTACCCCGAAGCAACACACATACTAACCAGTCCCAAGAGAGGAGCCTCGGCCGCTGCTGAACGCAAGCTGAGCTAGCCGCAGTATACCCCACCTAGCACAAACCCATTCCCTACCTGGGGCACGACGGGAAGCTCAAGACCCCCGGTGAACTTCAAGGGCGAGAACAATACCAAGCGATGAAGGCCTCAAATAGGAGCGATACCCGAACGACCCAGGCAAGGTAACCATTAATCGCAAGAGAAGTACCTACCGGGCACCTAGGAAAGGGAACCTTAGGCACATGCAGCCCAGTAAACTTGTAAGAACACCTGGCCACCACACACAGAGCCGACAAAGCCACAAACACAAAGCCAGACAAAACTCGAGGCCCAAGAGGACCTCTAGCACCTGGCACATCAGTCAACAAACTGGGGGATGTGCAGCCTGCTTGCCTGAGTGAGGTCCCCCCCTTCCCCCTGTCGGGGGAGGGGGAGACACTAACGAGCGGGTGCGCTAGTTAGACATCATGTTGCTTGTTTCTCTGTTTTTTTTTCTTTTGGGGAGGGGGGGGGAGAAGAGTTCTTGGCCTCTTTTTGGAGGTAGGTTACAATTTTAACCAGTTAAGAGGTTTGTAATAGTTCATTTACCTTTCTGGGTGCCTTTCCCAGTCGATGGCAGAAATGACAAACTTTAAATGTAGAGAGCTCATATGGCCATTGCTCCCTCGTCTCCTTGAGGGGGGGGGGGTTCAGATTCTGGCTCGTGGGCCCCCAGTAGGTACTTGAACTCCAAGGACTGATGGCACCAAACTAATATGGCACATGTCAGTTAGATAGCTTCAGGAAGCCGACAGGGCTCCCCTCAGAAAATTCCGTTTCAAACATTTTTACACCGAAGTTATAGTTTTAATCCAAAAAATAAGTTAGAACACATAAAATAGTATAAACATTTTAGGTGGTGCCGAATGGCCCAGGCCCTTCAAAAGCCCAGAACATTTGCGGTTGGACTTGCATTGAGATGGTGGACTGTTCAAGTCTTAATATAACAAGGAATAAATGACCTAATATTATGCAATAACAATCCACATAATGCTTGCCAATGCAGCATATATTTAGAACTGTACTTACAGTGTATGGGTTAAAGCGATTCTTCTTGCTAGTAAGAAGCTTGTTTTCATTTATCTTGCGTCCTCCACTCTCTGTTGTGTTTCGTGCACCGTCTTTCCAGGTGTCCGGGGTGATGACCTGAAATAATTACCCTACTTTTTAAACATATGAAAAATAAGCACAATATAATAAGGAATAAGGAATAGAGATCCATGAAATAAATTGTAATGAAAATTATAATTAAAGTATTTCTTAACCCTTAAAACCCCACAACAATATTCTATGCCTTGCCCATTGTGTGAAAAAAAAAAACATCAGTCAGTGTAATGAAATGCCTCCTTTTGGTGGGTTTCCTCGATGGCTCCCTAAGCTAGCCGCCTGACTACCTCCAAGCTTTACGGGCTATTCATGCCCGTGCCACCTTATGGGTGGCTTAATCTTCATCAATCAATCTCCAAGCTTATCATGCCCCACCAGGCCCTTAGGAGTCATAAAGCCTTCCACAGACCAGCACCATAATCTGGTTCACTCATTACAGGCAAGGGAGTCTGGGGATACTAGGTCAACCCAGATAAAGAGGAAAAACCACCAGAAAGGCAGAGACCTAAAACAACCAGTCTCCGTGGTGTAGTGGTAAGACTCTCGCCTGGCGTTCCGCGAGCGCTATGTCATGGGTTCGTATCCTGGCCGGGGAGGATTTACTGGGCGCAATTCCTTAACTGTAGCCTCTGTTTAACTCAACAGTAAAATGTGTACTTGGATGAAAAAACGATTCTTCGCAGCAGGGGATCGTATTCCAGGAACCTGCCCGAAATGCTACGTGTACTAGTGGCTGTACAAGAATGTAACAACTCTTGTATATATCTCAAAAAAAAAAAAAAAAAAAAAAAAAAAAAACTGCACAGAGGAATAATGGCAACCCTGTTGCACATGTACACACTCGTTAGCCAGTTACCACCGATAGGTACACCTCCCTACCACCAGATAATAGCCCTGGCAGTGTGGGGATCCAGCCAGCCAGCCATCACAGACATTCATTGACCAAAGACAAACCCCCCCAAAGCCCCCCTCGGAAGGGATTGATGGAAACAGGTAGCCACTGTAGCGAGTAAACCTATAATCGCTCCATTATCTCATCATCTTAATGGCATAACTAATTACACAAGCTATAATCCTATCCCTATTTACAGGTAACGGTTTTTCCACCCTCCTATCTTATTGTGAGGTGTAGTAACCGTATATAAGCCAGTGATTTGAGAATAGCAAACCAGTACAATCGCCAGTCAAGAATGTAGTACTCAGTGTAGGCAGTTCTAATCGACCCAAGATGCTACAGCTTCGACACAGCAGGCCTACGGGACTACGACCTCATCCAGCTACAACGCTCTCCCACATAGAGCTCCGCGACTCCGGCCACACTCAGCTCTCTGCTCTGCTCCAGGCTTCATCTCAACATCTACGACACTGCTGTATCCAGGACTACTAAATAAATATGAAACTCACTAAACACTGTGTATCTAATCAACCCAACAATGTAACATAACCGTACGTTACACCACTAAGAGAACCCACCAGGAAGAAGCATTTCCTTTCATTCAATGGTGGATTTCACCATGGAAAAAACACAAAAAGGGGCCTACCAGAGGGAGAGGAGAAGCAGTCAGGAACCTTATTAAAGTGGAACAGTGCCAGTTCACTCTAGTAAAACCACATCAAATAAAGGCAATGACAACAGGACAAAACAAGGGCTGCATCCCCAGTCAAACAATGAGACCGGACAGCTGCAAATGAAGAAACTGCCCACCTGGTTATCTTCTTCTTCTTGAGATGATTTCGGGGTTTTAGTGTCCCCGCGGCCCGGTCCTCGACCAGGCCTCCACCCCCAGGAAGCAGCCCGTGACAGCTGACTAACACCCAGGTACCTATTTACTGCTAGGTAACAGGGGCATTCAGGGTGAAAGAAACTTTGCCCATTTGTTTCTGCCTCGTGCGGGAATCGAACCCGCGCCACAGAATTATGAGTCCTGCGCGCTATCCACCAGGCTACGAGGCCCCCCCCTGAGCCAAAAGACAAAAATCCTCTACTCCTGAGATTAAGAAGTTCTCAAACCTTCCAACCAGAAGTGAGAGCTAACAGTGCCCCAAGAAACAAAATCTGGTCCAAAGGGTATGCAGAAAAACAACAAACACAAGAACATGATCTAGAGACTAAGAAGGCTCCGCAAAAAATGAAAAGGCTCTAGCAAAATGGAGAAATAAAAAAGGTGAAAGAAATACACAAGACAACATGCAAAATGGTGTTGAACAAACATCAATTCCAAAAGGCAATCGAAATGGCTCTGCCTTAGCTAACAAAGAAGAAAATTGGACAGTTCTAAAAACAACAAAAAGGGGATCAAATTCTGTTACCTGTATTGTTTAGCTTAACCTGCCTGAAACATTATGCGCATTAGTGTTTGAGTATAACAGTATAACATTAGTGTTTGAGTATAACAGTATAACATTCTTTGCATGAATGTTATACTCAAACCCCAATGTCTGTACTTAGTTGTGCTAGGATAGGTTAGGTAGGTTGGGTTGGACTTTAAGAATGGTTTTAAAATCTGTTTTGGAACCATTTTTAACAGGAAGTGACTAGTAGCAGGGGAGGTACTCACACTGCCCAACTTCTTCTGACACTTGTCGCACACCATAGTGAATCCCCTCTCTGTCACAGCAGCTTCTGCTTCTTGGTGATGTGTGCAGCTTGAGTCAAGGCTGGGCGGACTTCCTGCTGCCTGCTTTCCTGGACAGTTATGGGAGAGTACTACCCGTCACCTGACTGCCTGGACAGTTACAGGAAAGTATTCTACGTCACCTGGCTGCCTGGACAGTTACAGGAAAGTATCCTCTGTCACCTGGGTGCCTGGACAGTTAAAGGAAAGTATCCTCCGTCACCTGGCTGCCTGGACAGTTACAGGAAAGTATCCTCCGTCACCTGGCTGCCTGGACAGTTACAGAAAAGTATCCTCCGTCACCTGGCTGCCTGGACAGTTACAGGAAAGTATCCTCCGTCACCTGGCTGCCTGGACAGTTAAAGGAAAGTATCCTCCGTCACCTGGCTGCCTGGACAGTTACAGGAAAGTATTCTCCGTCACCTGGCTGCCTGGACAGTTAAAGGAAAGTGTCCTCCGTCACCTGGCTGCCTGGACAGTTACAGGAAAGTATCCTCCGTCACCTGGGTGCCTGGACAGTTACAGGAAAGTATCCTCCGTCACCTGGGTGCCTGGACAGTTACAGGAAAGTATTATCCGTCACCTGGCTGCCTGGACAGTTACAGGAAAGTATTATCCGTCACCTGGCTGCCTGGACAGTTACAGGAAAGTATTATCCGTCACCTAGCTGCCTGGACAGTTACAGGAAAGTATTATCCGTCACCTAGCTGCCTGGACAGTTACAGGAAAGTATTCTCCGTCACCTGGCTGCCTGGACAGTTACAGGAAAGTATTCTCCGTCACCTGGCTGCCTGTACAGTTACAGGAAAGTGTTATCCGTCACTTGGGTGCCTGGACAGTTACAGGAAAGTATCCTCCGTCACCTGGGTGCCTGGACAGTTACAGGAAAGTATTATCCGTCACCTGGCTGCCTGGACAGTTACAGGAAAGTATTCTCCGTCACCTGGCTGCCTGTACAGTTACAGGAAAGTGTTATCCGTCACCTGGGTGCCTGGACAGTTACAGGAAAGTATTATCCGTCACCTAGCTGCCTGGACAGTTGCAGGAAAGTATTATCCGTCACCTGGCTGCCTGTACAGTTACAGAAAAGTATTCTCCGTCACCTGGCTGCCTGTATAGTTACAGGAAAGTGTTATCCGTCACTTGGGTGCCTGGACAGTTAAAGGGAACATTACCCGCCACCTGGCCGAGGCTGACTACCCGTCAGGTGTCGCTACTGTAGGTAAACAACACCGCCCGTCAACTTTACACTCACTACCCCTACACTTAATAATAATAATAATAATAATAATAATAATAATTTATTTAGGAAAAGTACATACATAGTGGTAGAGTTACAGTAAAAACATTCTGTTTGATTTAAAGATAGAGGTAGTACATACAATACCTAAAGCCACTAGTACGCATAGCGTTTCGGGTAACTTCGCCTTAAGGGATCAGTAAGGGCCAATTAAAAGGGTGACCTCGCCCCGAAATTAACAACTTGTATTTATTTTATTAATTAATTAATTAATTTATTTATTTATATACAAGAAGGAACATTGGGTTTGTGAGAGCACATAACATTGGTGTAATTCCATTCAGCGTTTCGGCCAGGGTTTACCTGAATTTACCTGAGGGCCACTAACCCTAGTGACCTGGAAGAGGGACAGGAAGCCGCCAACTTGTCGAAGGTCCTCGAAGATTTTCCATGAGGATTTTTTCCAGTTGGACTTCAAAATTCAACAGAGAGTTGGTATTTACGGCTTCGGCGGGTAGGCGGTTCCATGGGTTTATAACCATGTGGGTGACAAAGGCAGAAGGCCTATTGGCCCATACGAGGCAGCTCCTATTCTATAACCACCCAATCCCACTCATATACTTGTCCAACCCGTGCTTGAAACAATCGAGGGACCCCACCTCCACAATGTTACGCGGCAATTGGTTCCACAAATCAACAACCCTGTTACTGAACCAGTATTTACCCAAGTCTTTCCTAAATCTAAACTTATCCAATTTATATCCATTGTTTCGTGTTCTGTCCTGTGTTGATACTTTTAATACCCTATTAATATCCCCCCGGTTATGTCCATTCATCCACTTGTAAACCTCTATCATGTCACCCCTAACTCTTCGCCTTTCCAGTGAATGCAACTTAAGCTTTGTTAATCTTTCTTCATATGAAAGATTTCTAATTTGGGGAATTAACTTAGTCATCCTACGCTGGACACGTTCAAGTGAATTTATATCCATTCTATAATATGGCGACCAAAACTGAACTGCATAATCTAAATGGGGTCTAACTAGAGCAAGATATAGCTTGAGAACCACACCAGGTGTCTTGTTACTAACGCTGCGATTAATAAATCCAAGTGTCCGATTTGCCTTATTACGAACATTTATGCATTGATCCTTTTGTTTTAAATTCTTACTAATCATAACTCCCAGATCCCTTTCGCAATCCGATTTCGCAATCACAACACCATCTAGCTCGTATCTTGTAACTCTATCATCATTACCTAACCTCAGAACTTTACATTTATCAGCATTAAACTGCATCTGCCAATCCTTTGACCATTTCAAAACCCTATCTAGATCAACTTGAAGTGATAGTGAGTCCTCCTCCGAATTAATTTCCCTACCGATTTTCGTATCATCGGCAAATTTGCAAATGTTGCTACTCAAACCTGAATCTAAATCATTTATATATATTATAAACAACAGAGGTCCCAGGACAGAGCCTTGAGGCACTCCACTTACAACATTTTCCCACTCTGACTTGATTCCATTTATACTAACTCTCTGTTTCCTTTGGTATAGCCATGCCCTAATCCAGCTTAATATAGCACCCCCAATACCATGAGACTCTATTTTTTTAATCAGTCTTTCATGTGGCACTGTATCAAAAGCTTTGCTAAAGTCAAGGTATACAACATCGCAATCCTTACCACTATCAACTGCCTCAACAATGCTAGAATAAAAAGATAACAAATTTGTTAAACATGAACGGCCATTTATAAAACCATGTTGCGACTCAATTATTAATTTATGTTTTTCAAGATGAAGACGAATTTTATTTGCTATTATAGATTCGAGTAACTTTCCCACAATAGACGTTAGGCTAATTGGTCGATAGTTAGACGCAAGTGATCTATCTCCTTTCTTAAAAACTGGTATCACATTAGCAACTTTCCAAAACTCTGGCACTCTGCCTGACTCTATTGATTTATTAAATAATATTCCTGAAGTCAGACTAAATCTGTGCAAACACCTGGGCTGGACGGTAGAGCAACAGTCTCGCTTCATGCAGGTCGGCGTTCAATCCCCGACCGTCCAAGTGATTGGGCACCATTCCTTTCCCTCCGTCCCATCCCAAATCCTTATCCTGGCCCCTTCCCAGTGCTATATAGTCGTAATGGCTTAGCGCTTTCCCGTGATAGGTCCCAGTTTCATGCAGATAAAAGGACCCAATGCAGGATATATGGAACTCACTCCCTAATGAATTGATAAATTGTCCAATACTGTATTCAAAAGTAGAATAAAAAAGTACGTAAATTCATCTTCATGGAGTAACTTATGAAATACTTAATGAACTTGCCATTATGAAGAAAAGCCCACTGTTAGACCTCTTTAATATTATTAATTAGCTATAAAGAGGGCAGTATGCCTAGTAAATGGAAAAAAGCTATGATCATCCCTGTCCCAAAAGCCAATTAATGGAGAGTACAGTGTTTTTGCAAAATGATGGAGAGGATCATTTTAAATAGACTTTTATATATGATAGGTGATCAACTGTCTAGTAATTTGTTCGGGTTCCTCAGAGGCAAAAGTACCTCTGACTGTATTATTAAATGTCTAGCTAGTAGTAGTAATAGGCATCCATCAGTCCCAGGAAAGTATGGAGTTGTGCTCTGGTTGTCGATATGAAGTGGTCTCTCCAGGGTGCAGAGCCTGGGTAGATTGATATGGAGGAGAAGATGTTACCCAAGCAGCAGGTCCCCCACTCTCCATGGAGCCGAAAGTCTCCAATGGAAGGCAAACGCCAATACGAATATGTCTAACTAATTATAATGATTACTATAGAATTTATCATTGATTTACAAGGAGTTTTTGGTAAAGCTAACAAAGAGGTTATCTTATATGAACTATAGCTGGTCTTGGTGTTAAAGGGAAATTATTGCGCTGGATAGGGGATTATCTTCACGAAAGGAAGGCTCAGCCATTTCTTGTTTTGGTAAAGGTAGGATGGGCAAGTTGGAGAAGGTACAAAATGAAGCCATGAGAATTATCTTAGGATGCCCAAGAAATGCTATGATTGAGATAATGAGGATGGAGTTGAATCTGCAGAGTATTGGGGATAGAATTTCAGAGATAAATGTAGCCTCTGCCATTAGATTAATGAGAGGTGGGGGAGCTAATGAATTAATCCTCTCGGTTCAAAAGGTGGGAAGTAGTGAACAGTGTATGATGAAGAAGAGAGTATATATGAATAAATTGTCATAATGTTATAAAGTATGATGTTATTACAGAGTGTGTTGCTGTGCCCAAGAGAAAATTTACACCACCATGGGAGGATTGTAATGTAGATGTAGTAATTACTCCCTTGCATAAGAAAAAAAGTATGTATGAAATAGGAGATCTGAGGGCAACATATGATTGTATAATTAGAAAACTGCCTACAGAAAACACTCTACATGTATATTGTGATGGGTCAGTAGCTAGGGATGGGAAAGCAGGATGTGGAGTCTTGATCAGGGAGTACACTGACATCGGCACTGTAGATACAGTTATTGGACGCCGCTTAACTGACAATGTCTCTTCAACGCAGGCTGAACTCCAAGGAGTATTAGCAGGATTACAGGAAGTAGTCAAATGTGGTAAAAATGCTTGCTTCTTTATTGACAGCAGAGGAGCGTTAGAGTCTTTAAATAGCAGACGCCCAGTATATCAGAATATTGTGATAGAGTGTAGAGATAATGTAAAGAGACTAGAAAAAACTGGGTATAAAGTAAGATTCATGTGGATCCCTTCACATGTGGGAATACTGTTGAATGAGGTAGTTGATGACATAGCGAAGAGAGCCACTGAAAAAACTCTTGTTGATGTTGTATGTCAGTTAACCTTGAAACAAATAAAAACAAGACTCAAGGTGATTCAGGAGGGTGAAGAAATGATAAAGAGAATGGCAATGGTGGACAGTAGTAACACACTTAAGAATTATTCAATAATAAATACAAATTCGTCCTTCACTTATGGTAAAGGAAAGTCTACTTGGAAGGATTCAATTTACATGAGATTAAGATTAGGATACAAATATATCTGACAATACGGAGTTGATGTCAGTGAAAAAGATAAGGAGTGTAAATTATGTAGTATGCCGTACGCCCACACCTTAGAACATTATGTATTAGAGTGTCAACTTATTGAAAACTATAGAAATAAGGAAATAAATAGTGTACCACATCAAATTGTTTGGATGTGTGATAATGGTATAATAGACAGTATACTTAGGAGCTACAAGAATTTTGCCCCAAGAATGTAACAATTATATGCTGTACTTACTATATAAACCTGCAATGTTAAATGGGATTCTTGTAAGCAGGCGATGAGTCACAATAACGTGGCTGAAGTATGTTGACCAGACCACACACTAGAAATTGAAGGGACGACGACGTTTCGGTCCGTCCTGGACCATTCTCAAGTCGATTGTCAATCGACTTGAGACAATCGACTTGAGAATGGTCCAGGACGGACCGAAACGTCGTCGTCCCTTCAATTTCTAGTGTGTGGTCTGGTCAAGGATTCTTGTAATGTTATTTGTCTATTTGTACTCACTGAATTTGTGCGCCCCTTGAGGGACTTGAAGTAGAGGGGGTAGAAATAGCCTAAGCTACTCTATCCCTTTGAGATGTATTTATTGCTTATCTCAATAAACATACTTGAACTTGAAAGGAAGGCTCAGGTGTGGTATCAAGGTTGTATGTCAGGTGTGAGATCATTTGAACTCGGCACACCTCAGGGAGGAGTGTTGAGTCCCACCCTGTTTCATTACACACAGAAGCAGACGAGTCACAATAACGTGGCTGAAGTATGTTGACCAAACCACACACTAGAAAGTGAAGGGATGACGACGTTTCGTCCTGGACCATTCTCAAGTCTTTTCATCTTCATTGTTTCCCAACTTGTGCTATCCACTCACCCAATTTATTATTAAAGATATGTAACTTCATCAGTATAATCTATTGTATCTATTTATGATGTAGTTCTTATGTTGAATTCAATTTATTACAATTTACTTGGGACAAGGACCATGGCTGGGAGGGACAGGGCCGGGCCGGGGCAGGGAGGGACAAGGACCGGAACAGGAAGGGATAAGGACCGGGAGGGACAGGGGCCGGGGCAGAGGGACAAGGATCGGGTCAGGGAGGGACAAGGACCGGGTCAGGGAGGGACAAGGACCGGGTCAGGGAGGGACAAGGACCGGGTCAGGGAGGGACAAGGACCGGGTCAGGGAGGGACAAGGACCGGGTCAGGGAGGGACAAGGACAGTGGCTGGGACCGGACAGGGGACCAGGACAGGAGCCTGGGCAGGGAGGGACAAGGACCGTAGCTGGGACGGGACAGGGGCAGGGCGGGTCAGGGACCGGGGCAGGTAGGCAGGGAGGGACAGGGACCGGGTCAGGGAGGGACAGGAACCAGGTCAGGGAGGGACTGGGACCGGGTCAGGTCGGAACAGGGGACCTGGGAGAGGGGTCGGGGCCGTGGCAGGGAGGGACAGGGGACCTGGGAGAGGGGCCGGTACCGTGGCAAGGAGGGACAGGGGACCTGGGAGAGGGGTCGGGGCCGTGGCAGGGAGGGACAGGGGACCTGGGAGAGGGGTCGGGGCCGTGGCAGGGAGGGACAGGGGACCTGGGAGAGGGGTCGGGGCCGTGGCAGGGAGGGACAGGGGACCTGGGAGAGGGGTCGGGACCGTGGGAGGGAGGGAGGTGCGAGCAGCAGTAAACAGCGAGACAGCAGGAGCAAGGCAGCAGCAGCAGTAACAGTAACATGTGTGGCTGCTCCAGCGTGCAGTAAGCTCTCCCCGGCCACCACCACCACCACTATGGCTCCCCCGCACCTGCTCCAGCTCCTGGCCCTCGCCTGCCTCGCCTCCACGGTAGGTCCTGCCTCAGGGCCTCGCCTCCTCCTGCCTCCCTTAACCCCCTACGCACTACGTCTTCACCCATCCACTTACCGACCTGATAGACCTCTACTTAACCCACCTGAACCCCCAGGGAAGGAGGTACCTCACCTGGTAATTACCTAAATGAGGAAGGAAGGAGTAATGAAGAGAGGAGATAAGACAGGTGTACGGAAGTGTTGCTTCACCCTTCACACAACACTAAGTCACTTTAGCCCTTTAATGATGCAACACTTCATACTTCCTCTAACTTAATCTGTGTAAACACTATGCAAATAAAGGGACCTGGTCTATGGTATTCACGCCTTAAAGAATTGAAAAGCTGTCCAATTTTTGCCTTGTTCAAAAATAAAACCGTAAAGTATCTAATTTCTAAAGTATCTAGTATCTAATTTCATCTTCATAGTTTCCTGCCTAGTGCTTGAAACTCGGGTTATATCTAATGTAACACAATGCCCCAAAATATATAATACCTATGCCATACAACTTTAGCATTGTAATCATTGCTGTTATCTTATATCTTGTTATACACTTAGTTAGCTACATTATATCTTGATAATGATCCTCAAATTATGCTAAAATGTATCTGTGGATAACTCGTAAATTTACTTTAATGTACCTACTTATTTTTCTGTCAAATTTGTCACACAATATATTTTTTTTATACTTACAGTGCATTTGTATATTTTCTTACAATGTATTTTTATACTTTATTCTTACAATGTACCTATACAAATTTTGTTAATTTTGCTAGAAATTACATTCTTAAAATTATATTTATTTATTATTTATTTATATATATATATATATATATATACAAGAAGGTACAATGGGATTGTGAGGACACAGCATAGTAATCACATTCTTATAAAGCCACTAGTACGTGCAGCGTTTCGGGCAGGTCCTTAATCTAAAAATTTTTTAAATAGGTAAATACTTGCAAAATTTATAAAAATGATAAGTTACATAGCAAGAAAAAAAATAAAAGATGAGAGAAAAATTGGTGGTATATTAAAGCACATAGGTAGCTCAGATTGATTGCAATGACAGCTTGAATGGTAGTTTAACAAAAATTAGTAGGCACAATACAGCATATGGCTATCTTGAGGTTATCTTGAGATGATTTCGGGGCTTTTTAGTGTCCCCGCGGCTCGGTCCTCGACCAGGCCTCCACCCCCAGGAAGCAGCCCGTGACACCTGACTAACACCCAGGTACCTATTTTTCTGCTAGGTAACAGGGGCATAGAGTGAAAGAAACTCTGCCCATTGTTTTTCGCCGGCGCCTGGGATCGAACCCAGGACCACAGGATCACAAGTCCAGCGTGCTGTCCGCTCGGCCGACCGGCTCCCTCTTTTATGTGGCTAGCACATAAAAGAAGACAGCAATGAACACAATGATAAAGTTGTTTGGATTAAGTACATAAAGATCGGGAGATTGGGTAACACTAGGTACAGAGCAAATTTAAAGCTCAGTGTAGGACACTACGAAGATGAAATTAGGTACTTTTTGGTTTTGTTTTTAAATGAGGCAAAAGTTTGACAGCTTTTCAATTCACTGGGGAGTGAGTTCCATAGACTGGGTCCCTTTATTTGCATAGTGTTTACACAGATTAAGTTTGACTCTGGGGATATCAAAGAGATATTTATTTCTGGTGTGGTGATAATGGGTCCTATTACATCTGTCCAGGGAGAGTTTCAGAGCATGGTTTGCATTTAAGAACAGGGTTTTGTAAATGTAGTTGACACAAGAGAATGTGTGGAGGGAGTTAATATTTAGCAAGTTTAGGGATTTAAACAAGGGAGCTGAGTGTTGTCTGAAAGCAGAGTTAGTTATTATTCTGATAGCAGCTTTTTGCTGGGTGATGATGGGCTTAAGGTGGTTTGCAGTGGTAGACCCCCATGCACAGATACCATAATTAAGATAGGGATAGATTAGTGCATAATATAGAGAGATGAGAGCAGAGTTAGGAACATAATATCTGATTTTGGATAGTATTCCAACTGTTTTAGAGAATTTCTTAGTTATGTGTTGAATGTGGGTGGTGAAGTTGAGTCTCTTGTCTAGGAATAGGCCAAGAAACTTTCCATCATTTTTATTACTGATGTTAATGTTGTCTATCTGTAGCTGAATTGCATTTGATGATTTACTTCCAAATAAGATGTAGTAGGTCTTTTCTATGTTTAGTGTTAGTTTGTTAGTTGACATCCATAAGTGAACTTTTTTCTAGTTCATTATTCACAACATTATTTAGTGTATGTGGGTTGGGGTCTGAATAGATGAGGGTAGTATCATCAGTAAACAATATAGGTTTACATTAATGACCTTCCAACAATATAGGTTTAATAAACAATATAGGTTTAATAAACAATAAACAATATAGGTTTATAATAAATTATTACAATATAGGTTAAAATAAACAATATAGATTTACATTAATGACCTTCCAAATGCCTCCCAACACCTCAAACCAATTCTATTTGCTGACGACACAACCTTCATTTACTCCAGTCCTGATCCCCTTGCTCTAAATGCCACAGTAAATACTGAGCTAAATAAAGTCCATCTGTGGCTAACTGCCAACAAACTCACCCTTAACATTGACAAAACCTTTTATATTCTGTTTGGCAATAAATCCTCGAATCAAATAAATCTCAAAATAAACAATACCCAAATTTGTAACAAATTAGATGGCAAATTCCTTGACATTCTCATTGACCACAAGCTTAATTTCCAGGGACACATTCTAAACATATCAAAAAAAGTTTCAAAAACTGTGGGCATTCTTTCTAAGATCAGATATTATGTACCACGCCCTGCCCTGGTGACTCTCTATTACTCCCTTATCTATCCATATCTCAACTATGGTATTTGTGCTTGGGGCTCTACTACCCAAAATCACTTACGTCCTCTAATTACTCAACACAAAGCTGCTATTAGGACAATATCCAATTCTGGCCCCAGACATCACTCGGTACCCCTACTTAAATCTCTGAATATGTTAGACATTAAGTCACTGCACATTCTCTCATGTGTATTATACATATATAAAATGCTAAACTATAATGCCAATCCTGATCTCAAAAGCTTCATAGAAGGTTGTATCAGAACCCATGAGCATCACACCAGAAATAAATACAGTTTTGATATTCCTAGAGTACGACTTAATCAAACTAGAAATGCTCTACAAATCAAGGGGCCCAGAATGTGGAATGACCTTCCCAACCATGTTAAAGACTGTACCTCTCTCAACCAGTTTAAGTTAAAAGCGAAGCTATACCTAATAAATTCCCTGTAACCTACCTTACCCTTCTATTGTCAACCAATGTCTGTTTTTTTTCTTTAAAGAGCGCTGTTTGTCGACATAATTGTATTTGTGCTGCTTTTTCATCTATGTTTTCATTTCTTGTTTTCATTCTACTCATTATGCTCAATTAGTATTAAGCTTGTCATTTAAGTTTATCATGCCCGAAACGCTTTGCGTAATAGTGGCTTTAGGCATTGTATGTACTAGCTATACCTATAAGTTAAACAATCCTTGTAAATATTTATTGTATGTATGTACCTTACCTAAATAAAATTGTATTGTATTAGGCTAATTATTATATGTTTGATTATTATATGTTATTTATTATTTACAGTATACCAAAATGCTATGCATGCTAGTGGCTTTAGAAGAATGTAAAACTTCAATGTTCTGTACTCTCATAAATCTAATGTACCTTCTTGTATATAAATAAATAAATAAGTTGTAATGGTGCAAGGTACTGGATGATGAGGGAGGGTCACTGTTACCCCTCACACTGGTGCACGGTACTGTGTGATGGGGGAGGGTCACTATTACCCCTACACTGGTGCATGGTACTGGGTGATGGGGGAGGGTCACTATTACCCCTACACTGGTGCACGGTACTGGGTGATGGGGGAGGGTCACTGTTACCCCTCACACTGGTGCACGGTACTGGGTGATGGGGAGGGTCACTATTACCCCCCCACTGGTGCACGGTACTGGGTGATGGGGGAGGGTCACTATTACCCCCCCACACTGGTGCACGGTACTGGGTGATGGGGGAGGGTCACTATTACCCCCACACTGGTGCACGGTACTGGGTGATGGGGGAGGGTCACTATTACCCCCACACTGGTGCACGGTACTGTGTGATGGGGGAGGGTCACTATTACCCCTACACTGGTGCACGGTACTGTGTGATGGGAGAGGGTCACTATTACCCCTACACTGGTGCACGGTACTGTGTGATGGGGGAGGGTCACTATTACCCCTACACTGGTGCACAGTACTGGGTGATGGGGGAGGGTCACTATTACTCCTACACTGGTGCACGGTACTGTGTGATGGGGGAGGGTCACTATTACCCCTACACTGGTGCATGGTACTGGGTGATGGGGGAGGGTCACTATTACCCCTACACTGGTGCACGGTACTGGGTGATGGGGGAGGGTCACTATTACCCCCACACTGGTGCATGGTACTGGGTGATGGGGAGGGTCACTATTACCCGCACACTGGTGCACGGTACTGGGTGATGGGGGAGGGTCACTATTACCCCCACACTGGTGCACGGTACTGGGTGATGGGGGAGGGGTCACTATTACCCACACACTGGTGCATGGTACTGGGTGATGGGGGAGGGTCACTATTACCCCCACACTGGTGCACGGTACTGGGTGATGGGGGAGGGTCACTATTACCCCCACACTGGTGCACGGTACTGGGTGATGGGGGAGGGTCACTGTTACCCGCACACTGGTGCACGGTACTGGGTGATGGGGGAGGGTCACTATTACCCGCACACTGGTGCACGGTACTTGGTGATGGGGGAGGGTCACTGTTACCCGCACACTGGTGCACGGTACTGGGTGATGGGGGAGGGTCACTGTTACCCACACACTGGTGCACGGTACTGGGTGATGGGGAGATTATCTTGAGATGATTTCGGGGCTTTAGTGTCCCCGCGGCCCGGTCCTTGGCCAGGCCTCCACCCCCCAGGAAGCAGCCCGTGACAGCTGACTAACACCCAGGTACCTATTTTACTGCTTGGTAACAGGGGCATAAGGTGAAAGAAACTCTGCCCATTGTTTCTCGCCGGTGCCCGGGATCGAACTCGAGACCACAGGATCACAAGTCCAGTGTGCTGTCTGCTCGGCCGACCGGCTCCCCTATTCAACCAGGGGAGGGTCACTATTACCCACACACTTACTGGTGCATGGTGCTGGGTGATGGGGAGGGTCACTATTACCCACACACTTCCACAAAGCTCTTTTTTTTTTTTTACCAAATTGTTACTGTATGTCATCAGGGTACTCTGTGTTAGCTTAGAGTTGATGTCCTTGTCGTAGACAAGGATGTTCTTGCATTCTGGATCTATCGGTTCAGAGTGATCTCGGGACACATTTGAATACCCATAAGGGTTCTTTCTAGGTGTTGACCTCATTGTTATCCTGCAATTTAAAGACCATTCATCTCCCCCAAAACAACTTGTTATACATGACCCCTTAATACATTCTTTATACAGTATAACAACCTTACATTGACACCATTTTCTGATACTGGCCTGAGCTTATTATAATGGCATCCACAAGTATTGCGAGCAAGTGCGGGCATATTGCACAACCTAGGCGTGCTCCGACATAACTGTTGCACCAGTTACACCACAACTCATTAACTGATGCACATGTCTCGATGAAGCTCATGATGATAATCTTCAACATCACAGTAAAACTAAGTTGCCCACTGTTGGACCAGAAAGCAGGAAAGAATATTAGTTGTCATCTGGAAGATATCTCTGCAGGTGATTCCTTGGGTGATAGAGATCAAAATGTGTGAGGAAAGACATAGTGTCAGTTTGTTCTTAAATTCTGCCAAGTTATATACAGTATCTAACAATTTAGCAAACCACATTCTTTGCTAAATTCATGGTATTTTTTTTTCCAGGGATATTCATGCACGGGCCCTAAGCCTCTGGCTGGCCCACTAAATGTTACTTGTTTCTGTTTTATTTAGGCAGAGTATGAGTATTTATGACTCGTATGGTCGCTTCAATAAGATTTTGCCCCATGTGTTGAACAACTTCTGCTCTGTTGAATCAAAGTTGAAATCTTATTGGGTTTGTAACTGTGTACTGTGTTAGATAATGTTCCAGTGGTCTGTCGGGCATTTCTCCACTGTGCTATCATGGTAGTTGACCCACATGTTCTAGGATTAGCAATGATCTTAGGAATGATATTAAGTACTCACCTATTTGTACTCACCTATTTATGCTTGCGGGGGTTGAGCTCTGGCTCTTTGGTCCCACCTCTCAACTGTCAATCAACTGGTGTACAGGTTCCTGAGCCTATTGGGCTCTATCATATCTACACTTGAAACTGTGTATGGAGTCAGCCTCCACCACATCACTGCCACCATCACAAGTAGTGGTGGTACTGTGTTCACTTGATGTGCCCAATGGTGAGATAGCTTGGCAAGCCACTGAGGGGGGAGGGGGGTTCCCAAAAGTGCAGCATTGAATGTAATGAAATGCCTCTGTTTTTGTGGGTCCTCTTGATGGCTTCCCGTTCTCGGCTTTCTTTTCCGGGTTTTCAGGGATTGTCTTTAGGAGGCATATGTCTGAGGTGGTCAGCTAGCTGGAGCCCTCGATTACCAGGGCTGCTGTCGGGTTGTGGGAGAGTGTAACTAACTAGTGGTTGGAACTGGCTAATGAGTGCGTACATGGTTGTCAGGGTTCATGCCAATGTTCCTCGGTGCAGTTGGTTGTTTTGGGGTTGTACTTTTCTAGTGGGTTGCCCTCTTGGCCTGGGACTAGTAAATCTACACACTAGCAGGTTGGGGTGTGGGATAACCCACAACTAGTAACCCACGCCTAGGAGTGGGTTAAACCTAGGCGTGGGTTGCTTGTGCTCTTTGTGCCTTTGCTGAGTGGACCAGATCTGTTTCTTGTCTGCAGTAGGAAAGACTTTTTCTTGTGACTTGGAAGAGCCTGGTGGAGTCTGTAGAGATAAACTGGCGAGGAGGAGCCACTGAAGGGAGGGTTTTCCACCAGAAAGAGGCTTTTCATTACATACAATGCTGGATTTTTGTAAAATTACAAGGTTAGCAACAAGTTAAGTGAGAGTACTGTACTGGGTGTGATAGTGGAGTTATGTTTCTTGTTCTTATTGTTAGACTGATGCGTATATAAGAACAACCTAGACCTCACCGTAATACTTACACTTGTAGCGAGTAGATTATCCCAATAATATACTCGCTCCAAATGCATTGTTAATATTCCTGTCAACCTTTGGAGATGAATGAGGTGAGGCGTTGCCCGGGCAACACGGTGAGGTGTTGCCCGAGCATATAAGCAGCAGAATAGCAAACATTAAAGAGTCTACTTTCAAGTGTGGTCTAGAGCAGACACTTGCGAGATACTGTACCGCTGCTCAGTGCGCTCAACTCACACCAAAGTATCACCTGTGTACTTCTGTATATTCGACCAAATATATATATAGTATCTTAGTGTCTGTGTTTATTTGTCACCATACTTTACGTAACAATAGAATCGTTACACACTGTATTGTGAACCTTCTTAACAAGGGCTTAAAATCAACTTGATTAATTAACATGAGCTCTTTAGAAACTTAGTTTAGGCCTAACATGGAAAGATCTTGCCCGTGAGTGTAAATCTGGAAATATTTTAAATTCTAATAGAATGTTCGTGTTGTGACAGGTCGCTGGACATTACTGCGAGTGGGATCTATGTGGCAGCGAACAGTACTGCTGTGGCGACAATCTTTGCTGTGATTATGTGTATAGTCTCTGGTACTTTTGGTAAGTTAACTTCACTATTATACTCAGTGGCATTTCAAATTACATACAGCTTGCAACACACTAAAGAAAAAGACTAATAATTTCACTTGTATGTGAAAATTGAGTTGTCAGTAATTAACGCAGATTCTACAAGTAATGTATCTGGTAAGGTTCCTTCCTACCTTGTCCCTGTGGAGTCCCCAAGGACACTTTACAAATTTTGCAAGGATCTGACCTGCATAGTGAAAGCTTTTACCCCTACTACTGTTACGAAATACCTCTTCTTGATCGTTTTTCCTGCCGTTCACGTGCTACTGCTCTGTACACAAACTGTGGGAGCAAAGCGGTTCACTGCGTGGGAGTTTGTCAAAACTTGTGTTTCAAGTTGAGAAACATTCTGTCCACCCATACATACTTGCAGGACAGGGATAGGGATGAATGTGGCAGGTGGCCAGGGACAGTGGTCCATGGGCCTGAAGGTGGCCAGGGACTGTAGTCCATGGGCCTGAAGATACTCATGGATAATGATCCATGGGTTTGAAGGTGTCAAAGGATAGTGATCCATAGAGATGACAAAATAATGACTTCGTCTTAAATTAATGGTTTAAAAATGACAATATGTATAGGGCATGCACCATTTAACCAAGAATAATATTTGACCATTTGTTTCAGGGTTGGAGTAGTGTTCTTGGTGTTGCTGGTGTCTGCGTGTGGCGGACTCTTCCGCTACTACTACAGACAATGGAGCAGTGCTGGCAGTGGTCCCCCTTACATACCTTTCCCTGCCAGCCCAACATATACCTCCCTCCCTACACGCATCTCCAGCCATGATCCTCTCTTTCAGGTATAAACGTAGTAGGTATTAATTTACACACCACAGCACTTGGAAAATACCTTCTTAGTGAATAATAATCCTAAACTAAATGTGTGTTGGTATGTGATGTAACTACAGTGGTACCTTGCATAACGATCGCCCCACAAGGCGAACATTTTGGGTAACGACCGGCCCGATCGGCGACAAATTGTCCCGTATGACGAACGCTCGTTTGTGTAACGTCAACATCACATAGTGGGGTTGTGCCACCTCCATCACATTCCCGACCACCACTGTTGACAGTGTTGCATTGGTGTCTCGCACGACCAGTATCCCTCTGCATCGCTCTGCACACAATTGTGATATTCGTGGGTTTTTGTGTGGTTTTGTGACTAATTCTGAAAGCACGATGTCGTCCAAGAAGCAGCCTGCGAAAGCAGGTGTTTGCAAGGGGAAGAAAGAGGCAATCGCTGTGGAAGTGAAGAAAGAGATCAGAGCAAAGCACGAGCGTGGTGTTCGTGTGGCTGATCTTGCCAGGGAGTATGGCAGGGCTCCCTCAACAATATCCACCATAATGAAGGGGAAGGATAAATATAAGACGCTTGACGTGGCCAAAGGAGTTACCAAGATCACCAGCAAACGTCCAAAACTCCTAGAAGATGTGGAACGGCTACTGCTGGTGTGGATGAATGAATGACAATTGCATGGCGATAGTGTCTCTGAAGCTATCATTTGCGCTAAGGCTAGGATGCTGTATGTGGACCTTGTCAGGAAGATACCAGGTGCGTCGTCTGAAGATGAGGAGGTATTTAAGGCAAGCCGTGGCTGGTTTGAGAACTTTAAGAAGAGGAGCGGTATACACAATGTTGTGCGACATGGGGAGGCTGCCAGCTCTGATAAAGCTGCTGCCGAGGCTTTTGTGCCAGAGTTCCAGGAATTTGTTGATCGGGAACAGTTCCTGCCCAACAAGTTTTCAATTGTGACGAGACCGACCTTTTTTGGAAAAAACTAATAAAGAGGACCTACATCACGCAAGAGGAACAATCGTTGCCTGGCCACAAACCGATGAAGGATCGCCTTACTCTCGTGCTCTGCGCCAATGCAAGTGGCAATTTCAAGGTCAAGCCGTTGCTCGTCTACCACTCTTGAAAATCTACGAGTGTTCAAGGCATTTAAGGTGTACAAGACACGGCTGAATGTGATGTGGAAGTCGAACAAGAAGTCCTGGGTCACGCAGATATTCTTTAGTGAGTGGGTAAATGACGTCTTCGGCCAAACAGTGAGAAATTATCTCGTCGAGAAGCAGTTACCACTCAAGGCCCTGCTTGTGCTCGATAATGCACCTGCCCATCCTCGACAACTGCAAGATGATCTGTTCCCTGAGAATCAGTTCATCACCATCAAGTTTCTTCCTCCAAACACCACGCCACTCCTCCAACCCATGGATCAGCAGGTCATTGGTAACTTTTAAGAAGCTCTACATGAAGGCCTTGTTGGAGAGATGTGTTCATGTGATTGACACCACAGAGCTGACCCACAGACAATTCTGGAAGGACCAGTTCAATATCATGGGGGGGCCTTGTGTTTGATAGATAAGGCCTGGGAAGGGGTGTCACGGAGGACCCTACACTCTGCATGGCGAAACCTGTGGCCTGAGGGTGTCCCTGAGCGAGACTTCGAAGGTTTCGGTCCTGCACCTGCATCTGCATCCGCACCTGTGGATGACCCGGATGCTCTTTTAGTGGATGATATTGCTGCTCTGGGACATACACTGGGTCTGGAGGTGGATGCTGCTGATGTGCAGGAGTTGGTGGAGGAGCACAGTGATGAATTGACCACCGAGGAACTCCTGGAACTGCAGAAAGAGCTGGTGCAACAGGAGGTAAAGGAGCTCTCATCGGGGGAGGAGGAGGTCTGCGAGGATGCTATCCCTTCCAGTGAGATCAGGGACGTGCTGGGCACGTTCGAAAAGGTGACTGCATTTGCGGAAAAGCATCACCCTGATAAGGCGGGGACAACACGGTGCGTGAACTTGTTTAATGACAATGTGCTGTCTCGATTTAGGGACATCCTCAAACGAAGACAACAGCAAGTGACACGCGATACGGTCAGTGGACAGGGTGGGAAGAGACGTGCAAGTGATATTGAACCACAACCCGGTCCCAGTGGGGTTAAATTCCCGAAGAGAGTGAGCCCCCCCTGACCCAGAGGTGGTGTCTCCCTTTTCGCCGTAACCGCTCTCCTCCCTTCCTCCCTATCGGCTCCCTCAAGCCAGCAACGACTCTTCATAAGGTAAAGTGAATATACACATGGGAACAAACAAAACATTTATTTAACATGTACAGTATCATATTACCAGTGTATAATGTTATATTGTTGTTTTAGGGGTGGAACGGATTACTTGTATTTACATTGTTTTGAGTGGGGAAAATTGTTTTGTATGACGCCGGTTTCACATGACGTCGGTGGCGTTGGAACGGATTAAATTCGTTATTCGAGGTACCACTGTAATTGTATATTACTCCTCTCGCCCTTTTTGCTCGTGCATGTGTGTGTCTGTAATTATCTATACAATATGCATTTACCAATTTGTAAATGCAAGATTAGAGCTGTATCGCCATATCTCATTTTCTTAATTTAGTTTACCAAAAGGACTGTATTTCATAAACCAGTGATTTTTAGTAATCTTCAAATCCTCCAATACTCTTTGATTTGATACCATCCCACTGCGGTTGGCCATTCCCTTGTTCTTGCTCTTTTGTGGAGTATTCGTGGAAACTGCTGGTGAGTTCTTCACACACCCTTCCTGTTATTTTCTGTAAATGTGTTCATTCCTATTCTTTGTTTCATAACTTGTTCTTTTAGTGTTGTTTTCCTCTTTATGCACCACAGTCCAAGCTGTGGATCAGCTTGGGCTGGGTCTTTATTTATGTGATATATTCTTTTGAAATTGTGTGCATGTTTCTCACTCACAATTCATAATCGCCCTCAAGGGAGCCGGTCGGCCGAGCGGACAGCACACTGGACTTGTGATCCTGTGATCCCGGGTTCAATCCCGGGCGCCGGCGAGAAACAATGGGCAGAGTTTCTTTCACCCTATGCCCCTGTTACCTAGCAGTAAAATAGGTACCTGGGTGTTAGTCAGCTGTCACGGGCTGCTTCCTGGGGGTGGAGGCCTGGTCGAGGACCGGGCCGCGGGAACACTGAAAAAAAGCCCCGAAATCATCTCAAGATAACCACTCTGAAGTATTCATTCCTGCCCTGGTAACCCCCTCTGCTTTTTATGCTCTATTATTCCTGTAATGTCTCTTATGCTCCCATGCTTACTAGTTTTGTTTCCTTGCAGCCTTGGTTAAAGCATGAATTAATCCTATGTGCAATCCCTTTGGACAAAAACAAACTTATGAACTACACAACATTTCTGGATGAGCAAGTCCATTATGTGGTGGTGTATTTCTTCTAGGTTCCCATGGTACTTCTGATAGAATTTTTATTATTTCCTCATAATTTCCCCTTCATTATGACAGCCTTCTACCCTCTGAGTCTTTACCTGAACAGGTCATTCCTACTTGCAGACAATGAGTCACAATAACATGGCTGAAAATGTGATGACCAAATCACATGCCAGAAAATGATTACTTTTTCTAGGAATTACCTTCTTCTCTTATCTGCTCCCCACCAACCGACCTTACCTTTTTCTCCTCCTACCTGGTCCTCGCCTCACTCTTGCCTTATTTAATGCCCGTGCCTCCCTCACTCCCATCACAATCGACTTGATAATGGTCCAGGGTGGACCAAAATGTCATCGTCTTATCATCTTCTGGTGTGTGTTTTGGTCATTCCTACTTCTACCAGATACATAAACACCAGTACAGTACTGTACAGTAAATGATGATCGCTCATTTTGAAGAGGGCTTCAAATGTTATTTTTCTTGTGTTTGACATATTTAGACTGAATATCAGATAAAGGCTGGCTGGGTTATTGCTATCCCTCATTCAAGGTGGGTCTCTAGGCATGCTGGCTTAGGAAGTTTATCATTGTTGCTTCCACTAGTTGTGATCTACACATCTACTTACCTATCAGTGTCTACGGGGAAGTCAGATCTTGCTCTTTATGCCCCCATCTACTAGCCTTGTATCTGTTGTGTTAGAACCTAACTACTCTGACTTTCAAATTCTTTGTCAAATTGGGCCTTATAGTTGTAGATGGAAGTGGCTTCCTACCCTCAGGTAGGAATGATTTACCCTCGGGTAGGAATGACCTACCCTCGGGTAGGAATGACCTACTCTGGTAGGAATGACCTACCCTCTAGTAGGTCATTGACATAAATTAGAAAGAGCAATGGTCCCGGTGAAATGCAGGTAATGACGAACCTGTGCCATGGGACAACAAATGACGCACCCCGACTGAATCAACCAGCATCCGTAATTAATTAAAGCACCCCTACAGATGCCCACCAACTTGTTCTTCACCAGCAAAGGAGATTCCTGCAAATAAAAAAAATGCCTACCCAGAGCCAAAGGAGCAAGAACTCTCACCTCCGGAGACGAGCTTGAAGCTCACTGACCTGACCTTGAGGTTACCTTGAGGTGCTTCCGGGGCTTAGCGTCCCCGCAGCCCGGTCGTCGACCAGGCCTCCTGGTTGCTGACTGATCAACAAGGCTGTTGGACGCGGCTGCTCGCAGCCTGACATATGAGTCACAGCCTGGTTGATCAGGTATCCTTTGGAGGTGCTTATCCAGTTCTCTCTTGAACAGCCGAAGGCAAAAGCCAACAAAAAAAAGGGGAGGGGGGATACTTTTTTCTGCCAAAGAGGCAGAATGTCTAAGAGAAGGAAAAAAAATTGAGGACTCTGTCAAGTGACCAATATAGCTCAGGAATAGCATGAGCAGGCCGGATGTGAAAAACCACCTGAGGCAATTTGCAGAATGGGCCACAGTACAGTATTATTAACAGCAAACACATGCAGCAACAACCCCATAAATGCCAAAAGATAAAGGCACAACTGTACAAGAATGTAACAACTCTTGTATATATCTCAAAAAAAAAAAATCTCTCAAAAAAATTAAGCATGAGATGCCAATGAAGACGCACACATGAAGAAAGACAATACTATGTGAACCAAAAGCAAAGAAAGAAAACATACAGAAAAGACAAAATGAGCATCGGGCCACTTCATACGTTCACCTGGAAGACAAATGTAGGTGGGACAGCAGTAACTTGGCCACCTGTGTGTGCCATAACATTAGCAATAGACATGCATTAGAAAGTTCAGATGAGGAGGTAGAACAATAGAGACCATCACCAGATCGATCCGCTAAAAAAGGCGACGCTGCAGGAAGGTGCCCATGTTTGGACACCAGACCAGAAGAGCCAGAAACCAAGGCTAAACTGGCTGCGAAAGGGACAAGAGGATCACCCTTCCTTGAGAAGAATGACTCTAGTCTGGGTAGAACCCGGAGCAACAACTGAACCAGAGACAAGAGGTAAATGCACCCCATCTTGACCAGCCCAGCTGAAAAGCTTCCGCCATGAGTGCCTAGCCATCGGGGAACAGAGCCACATAGAACAGAAGATTTCAGTTCTATGCCGACACGAAGGGATCCACCTCGGGGTGACTGAATGTCTCTCCAAGCCATCCCCTCAGCGTGCCGGTCGCTTGGGACCACTGGCAAGAGGGCCCATGCCTCCTACAACCCACTCGCAGGTTGCCCCAAGCGACCACCTGCCACAGGGCACAAGCCGCCTCCAGCCTCACTCTTCCCTGTGTGAAGGGTGGCCCACTCAGCGTGCCAGTCACTTGCAATCACTGGAAAGATGGGGGTGGGGGGACACCACTACACTGTGACATGCTACTAAGTGGCTCCCAGAACTGAAGGGTAAGAGCTACGAGGAGAGGTTAGAAGCATTAAACATGCCAAAACTAGAAGACAGAAGAAAGAGGTGATATGATCACTACATACAAAATAGTAACAGGAATTGATAAAATCGACAGGGAAGATTTCCTGAGACCTGGCACTTCAAGAACAAGAGGTCATAGATTTAAACTAGCTAAACACAGATGCCGAAGAAATATAAGAAAATTCACCTTTGCAAATAGAGTGGTAGACGGTTGGAACAAGTTAAGTGAGAAGGTGGTGGAGGCCAAGACCGTCAGTAGTTTCAAAGCGCTATATGACAAAGAGTGCTGGGAAGACGGGACACTACGAGCTTAGCTCTCATCCTGTAACTACACTTAGGTAATTACACTTAGGTAATTACATGGAAAGCATTGCAACCTGGAATTCAACTGAATCCTCTAGGGTTCCTGAGACTTCCAGTGAAGCCAAATTAGGGTTTTGCACAATTCTCCTATGTGCTCTGACTTGTAGTCTAGGAATTCCTACCTCCTATATTTCTCTTTAAATACACAATGAAATCACATTAACATGATGTGTCAATGAGAAAATCAGTAGGGACCAATCTCCTACTGATTTTCTCAATGATATATCACGTTAATACGGTTTCATTGTGCAGTTGAGAAGAAGAGTTGGAGGTAGAATTACTGGACCATAAGCCAGGGTGCATGAGGGTCAATGTGTAAAACCATGATTGGGCTTCAGTTGGAAGCCTCAGGATCCCTAGAGGATTCGGTGGAATCCCAGGTTGCATTGCACCATGTCGTGGTGTACTGGTCTAGGGTATTTACTCAGGGGTACCAGGTGAGTCAGTTCGAATCCTCCTCATCCTCGTTATGGCACCTATTGATTTTCTCATAAGGCGAAGGTATCAAAGGTATATCAAAGGTATCGGAATCACCGATGATGTTAACGAGAGACACCGACCTCTTGGGACATCAGGAAACCAAGATACAATACCAACATCATAGAAATAAGAGCAATGGACAAAGAGGTACAAAAGCGCAAGTGGGACAACACAGTGAGGACAAAAAGGAGCAGGATACTGTTCCAATAAGTGACCATAAGTCAGGCGGGTGTGATACAGTCTAGCTAGAGCCGTCTCCCAATGCCTATTACAGTACTGTGGGAGGAGGAAATCCAAGGGGAAACATCAGACTTAAAAGCACTTAATTTATTACCAGTAACACCAACCCAGCAAATATGCCAGTAGTTGCAGATAGTGGCATGAATGATCAAGTAAAAATCTGAATAGGGAACCCTTTTCTGGGAAATGTTGTATGTACGAATGGCTTCGTTAGCAGCGCCATCAACGAGTTCATTTCACGGGATCCCAATATGCCTGGGAACTCTGCAGAATTTGACATTCCTTATACCTACCAAAAATAAGAAACGGCCAATATTGAATTTCGGATACCACAGGATGCAAATGGTTAAAAGACTCCAAAGCCATGAGGGCACTCCAAGAGTCAATAACAGTAACAAAGGACCTTTATGTCAGTCTTTTTGTTTATTCTAAAAGTCAATCTAAATCATCTTGTAGCAATTTTGATCTCTGATTATATTTTCAACCCTACTTTAGTATGATCTGCAAATGTTGCTGGTTAGTTTAAATTGTTTATATACATGGTAAGTACAGTAACAGGTGCCGGGACAGACTTCTGGATTGATTTGTGCCGACTTTTTTCCCTTCTTTGAAATAACGATGCCTTTATTGAAGTTAGGATAGCATTCTGACACTGTGAAGCTCTACCTTTCTAATTGGTATTAATCTTTATCTTTACCAGATAACCGAAGATGCTGTCAAGCCTAAGCTGTAGATACCAGTAGAATGAAATTGGTCTTCCTAGGTGATCTTAGCAGTACAGTACCTCATATTAACTTGACTTGAAAATGCAAGCATTAACAAAATCAAATAACAAAATTCAGTGGTTAGATTCCCAAATTGTGCAGTAATTTGCATATATGCAGGCGATGAGTCACAATAACGTGGCTGAAGTATGTTGACCAGACCACACACTTGAAGTTGAAGGGACGACGACGTTTCGGTCCGTCCTGGACCATTCTCAAGTCGATTGTATCGACCAATCGACTTGAGAATGGTCCAGGACGGACCGAAACGTCGTCGTCCCTTCAACTTCTAGTGTGTGGTCTGGTCAACAAATTTGCATATATGTACTGGTAGAGCACATTTGTCCATTTCTTTCATATTTGATACATGGTTTATTTGGTGAATATATGAGCATGTATATATTGAGTAGTGAACTACTGTGGGATTGGACCAGTACGACTTAACTTAGGATGTGATAAATAATGGAATGGATCATTTGGTTTAAGATTTGAGTGTTGGTTTGGCGTATGCAAAATGTTGGTCTTCATGTTGCACTTCTGTCGAGTTTGGCCAAGTTGCAATATACTCAATTTGTGACCCCTTAACATGGGAAGGAGGTGAAGTGAGAGCATTGTGGAGGTGTTACCATGGTTGATATGTGACGTAGGTAATTAGGCTCGGTGATGTAACTTGTACAATCCACCTGATCTCTTATTCTATCTCAACCTTAATAAAGACTTGATAAATAAATCAATATCTTGACTGTCGGTTTCATTTAAAAAGAAAAAAATTACTTAAATGATGGCAGAATTTATTAATATTTTTTTTTTTTTTTTTTTAATATTTATTTGTTCATTAGAGTTGAGGCAGTTTCTGTTGTATGTATATACTGTGTTGTATATTCTTGACCACTCGTAGATGTTTTAAAAGAGAGTTGATTACCGTAGCTGTCATTTTAATTCGTTTAAATTTCATTTACTTGTTCCCCACAAATTAGTTCCTTAATTTGTATCAAATGCAGAATAGGACAATTCTTGTTAACCAATATTATATGACGGTTGTTGGCCGTTTGACTGCCCTACAATGGTAAGGAGAGAGATGTGCATTGTATTGGCACTCGGTCATTATATCTGGTCATGATGGTCACGAGTTGTATGGCAGGAAGTTGTCTCACAACTTATGGGCAGACAATGAATTGTGTTTTGTAACTGTTGGTGGATGTAATAATGAGTACTCGTGTGACAGATGTACACAGGAGTCATTCAATATTTTGTTCATGCATTTTGAGAGGTTAGTAATTTGTAAATATGAGTTGATGAAAAATATATCCATTTAACATTGCTAAAAGTCAAGTTTCATAAGCAGTGAACAGTAGTGTGAACTCTGCCTCCTGCTGCTACCCTTGTCTACATAATGGATTACAGTCTTGTAAGCTTGTTAATACAAGAATTGTATTTACTAAACACCTCATTTTAAATGAGATTGATCCTAAAAAAAAAATATTAAGATTAATTGGGCATTATTTGTAATGGGGAAAACCATTACCTATTAGATACTTTAATTTGGATATTAATTTTTGACTGCCTTTGCAGATTTAAAGTAGACACAGGCAGTAATGAATTGTATAATTAGTTCCATTGTATTATAAGCTTCCTTGATCTATGGAGCCTATTTATATTGTCAGGGGTCACTACGCAGGGCTCGAGTAGTTGTACCGTCAATGGTTGTGTTTTTAATATTATCCTAATAATGTATCTTACAACTAGAAAATCAATATTGTCCATATTTTTTTATAATACTGATTTATGGTAAGATATGTAGAAATTTAAGTGGTGTGTGTGTGTGTGTGTATATATAAATATTTTTTTGATATGTTGATTGCAAATTCTTGAATGCATATTATGCAGTTTTAATAAACATTTATATTGTATGTTGCTTTGTTTTATATATTTATTTATGACGACAACCTGTTAATTCCAAGCATTCATGTCAGCATGGCCCGGTCTCTGACCAGACCTCCTGGTTTCTGGTCTGATCAACTAGGCTGTTTGATGCAGCTGCTTGCAGCCGGACGTACAAGTCACAGCCTGGTTGGTCAGATATCCTTTGAAGGTCCTTGTTTGAACACTGAGAGGTCAGCCAGTTAGGCCTCTTGTGTGTAGGGGAAGAGTGTTGAAAAATTTTGGGCTTGTGATGTTGAACAAGTGCTCTCTCAGCATGCCAAATGCCCCTTTGCTTTTCAATGGCGCTGTTTTGTACATCCTGCTATGCCTTCTTGTCTCATGTGGTTATTCATTTGTCTTGTTCGGGTTAAATGTAGACACAGTAGTCGCTTCTGTATTTTTATTGACCGAGACAACAAGGTATATATCTGGCCAGTCGAGGTCCACCTACTCTGAGTCTGTGAGGATAACTGAGGCTGCTGGGAGCATGGCTGATGCTCCTCTGTCTGGCATGATGTCAGAGGCCTACTTGCCTGTGATTGGTTATATTCTAACTGACATAGAATTTGAGTATAACATGGTGTTATTTCTGTGTGCAGATTTGGAACCAGTCCTGATATTTTCCAAGTGTAAATTATTATGTATCTCTCTTGCCTGCACTCTAAAGAATACAGATTTAATATTTTTAAGTAGTCCCAGTAACTCGGATGTTTTATAGAGTGGATTCTAGCGGTTTTAAAAGATCTTTGCCCGCTCTTCAGGTCAGCAATTTCTCCAGCTTTGAATGGAGTTACTGTATTAGTATGCCACAATATTCTACTCTAGAGAGCACTAGTGTCTTAAAAAGTATCTTGGTGTTGCCCCTTTTATGTACCCTGTTCCCTTTCATCTCCTTCCTTTTTTCTGTTCGGATGTCTCGCTTACAAGCTTCCCTTTATGTTTGTGTTGGCAATGTCTCTCCTTATGTCTTTCCATTCTTACCTCCTTGGCGAGTCCCACTAGTGAAGTTTTGCAAGTCTTTAACCCATGTGGTAAAGGCTTTTTCACCTCCTTTTGCTCTGAAACTCCCTTTCCTTCAATATTTTTATTTGCACTAGCATTCTGTTGCCCTCTTCACAGATGGGTCTAAGTCTGCTGATAGTGTTAGATACTCTGTTGTCTTTCCAGACCAAAGGTATATGTGCTGTCTACCTCTGCAGGCTAGCATCTTCACGGCTGAACTGTATGCTATCTTGTATGTCCTTCAATGCTTTTCCATCGTCAGCACTTTTGTTTGCTTTGTGGTAGACTCGTATTGCTCTTATGGCTTTGAAGTCTTTTAATCCCGTACATCTTGTGGTAGTTGAAATCCAATATCGGCTGTTTCTGTTCTCTAGCAGATTTAAGCAGGTTGAGTTTTGCTGGGTTCCCAACAATGCAGTATTGGTATTTCCTTAAATGAGCATGTGGACACTGCTGCTAAGGAGGCTATCTGCCCTTGCCCTATTTCCCGAAAAGGTGTTTATTCCGATTTCTACCCAGTTATTCATTTCTTGATCCATGTCTGTTGGCATGGTCACTGGTCTTCTGTTACTGATAACAAATTGTGTGCTCTTGAGAGTATCCTGTCCCCTTGGCTTTCCTCCTGTCATGATAACCGGTGGTGGAAAATGGCTCTGGTGAGGTTACATTTTGGCCATACATGTTTAACTCGTGGGCACTTAATGGAGTGCTGCCCTGCTCCTTATTGTCTGAACTGCATTGTCCATCATACGGTAATGCATCTCCTTGAATGTCCTGATTTTCAGGCCGTGTGCGTGTATTGCTTCCTGACTGTCCCTCGCAGTCATTTGCCCCTTGATTGAATTTTTGGTGAATCCAATACTTTTGACATTGCTTGCCGTGTGCCCTTTGGTTCTCGTATTGGCACCGTTGGTGATATTTAGCGCTTTTTGAATCTCCTGCGACTTTGATGGTGCTACATAGTCTTGCTGGCTTGGCACCTTATTTTGATAATTACAGTACTTATTCAACAAACACTGGATCCACTATGACAGAACCATGGAAATTGACAGGTCTGGAACAGGTTTACCAGCAATCTTATGGTTCTTCCGGATCAGAGGGAGAGGGTTGTCAACTGCAATGGTGATGACATCGAATCACCAACTCTCCTGTTTAGCAGTACTGATGGCCCTATGAGCCACCACACTCACCCTCTGAAACAAAATAAATGAATCTGTCAGCGCTGATGTCTGGCCACCAGACACCTGATTTCCAGGCCACATGCTTACACTGCGAATTCAGTGTGCCAGAGCAATCCAAATTCCATTAAAAAATGCAGTTTTGTGCACTATTGTAAGCGTAGCATGGAATAGAGAAGAGGGTGTCACAGAAGGCTTGTGGGAGGGGCAAATCATAAGTTGGAAAAAAAAAAAGTGTAAAGGATGAGACGATTCCAGTCCACCTTATGAAACCACGGAGAACGAGAGAGGAGGGAGGGAAAAAAGAATAGAGGGTGACAAGGATGGGGAATTGGTCATCTTTGTCAACCCTCCATGACAGGTCTTAAATAAATGGAGGACAATCGGTACAGGCACTTCCCTGACTGTAAACAAGTTACATTCGGAGAATGTGTTCATAAAGCAGTGGTTTGGAATGGGAAACTGAGATTTTCCATAGGCCAATTGATATAAATGGAAAATGTGTTCCCGGACCACAAAAAATCTTCACAAAACCGATATTTTTTTTAGGACATACTGTATACACCCCCCGTCACTGTTTAGCCGTATGTACATGAGGGGGCTTGGTGGGGTGGCTGCCAGAGTATGATGCTCAGTAGGATAGCATTTATAACAATAATGTTTATATTGGGAACAGTAAATATATACAAAATGAGTTACAAGAAGAATGTCGAGTTTCTAGATTGAGCAAATATATATTATGCCTGAAGCCACTAACAGCACTTCTCGCATGATGTGGAAAAATAAACTTAAAAAACTAAGACATAAAACTATGTACAGTAATTGAGAGCAAAAGCAAAAATTGAACTGGAGTAGAAAAATAAAAAAGAATGACAATAAGATAGGTACATGTTGAATGGTATAACAGATAGTAATTTTAACTAAATAAACAAGGAAAGATTTTTTTTTAAGTTTTTACATGGCAGATAGCAGTTTTACAAGTTTAATCATTAATCTTTAATTTTCAATAATGGCAGAAAATGGTTGACATTTAGTAAGTAAGGTATATTACATAGAGCTGATTAGGTAGTACTTAGTTTCTCTCTTAAACTGGTTGAGAAAGGGGACAGTCTTTGACATGACTGGGAAGGTCATTCCACATTTTGGGACCCTTGATTTGCAGAGCAATTCTACTAAGATAAAGTTGCACTCTTGTAATATCAAATAGATATTTGTTTCTGGTGTGGTGCCCATGGGTTCTTTCTGTTACAGCCCTCTAGAAAGTGTTTAAGGTCAGGATTAGTATTGCAGTTCAGGTTAATATATAGTACACTTGAGAGGATGTGAAGTGACTTAATGTCTAACATATTCAAAGAATTAAGTAAGGGGGCCGAGTGTTGTCTGGGGCTCGAGTTTATTATTGTTCATTCATTTCATTTCATTTATTATGCCTCCCATACTCATCCCGTGGGTGGTGGTGGAAAGGGTTACAGAGGCACATACGTAATGGATTCAGGAACCAGGAACCGAACCCCATAGTTTGGTTAGCTAAGCAAGTGATGATCTGGATAGATGAGAGAGTAATAAAGTGTTACTAGGGCAGGGCAAGGAACATAATATCTCTGATTTTTGAAAGAATGCTAACTGTTTTAGAAGTTTTGTGTAGCTATATTTTGTATGTGACCCTGGAAATTCAACTTTTTATGCAGAGAACACTGAGGAATTTACCATCTACTTTGTTACTAATTTTGATGTTGTTAAATCTTAGATTAATTTGATCAGTTGATTTATTACCAAACAAAATAAACCATAAAAAGTTTTATCACTGCTAAGGGTTAGTTTGTTAATAGCCAAAGATGGTCCTTATTTAGTTAAGCATTCGTTGTGTCATTCAGAATAAGAGGATTGGGACTGGAGAAAATGAAGGTTGTGCTATTGGCAAATAAAATTGGCTTGAGGTGTCGAAAGGCACTTGGAAGGTCATTAATGTTTCTGAGAAAGAGGAGAGGGGGCCAAGTATACTGCCCTGCAGAACACCAATCCTAATGGGTACGGTGGAGAACTATTGGAGAGAGTGACCTCTGACTCCGTAGTATAGAATCCAACCACTTGGACTGGAAGGTGGAGCGACGGTCTCGCTTCATGCAGGTCGCCGTTCAATTCCCGACCGTCCCAGTGGTTGGGCACCATTCCATTCCCCTGTCCCATCCCAGGTCCTTATCCTGACCCCTTCCAAGTGCTATATAGTCATAATGACTTGGCACTTTCTTCCCTGATAATTCCTTCCTTCCTTCCGTAGTGTAGACTTTGTCTACAAAAGCAGAGTAAGCAGTGATATGACTGATTTATGCAAATAAATGAAAGGGAATAACAAGTGGATATTAATAAGGTGTTAATATATCAACACAAAATAAGAGACACAAATTGAATAGGTTTTGATTCAGAGATGACCTGAGTAAATACTGGTCTGGAAAGAGGGTTGTTGAATTTCTGGAAGTAAGTAAGTACTGTAATTATCAAAGAAGGCACCAAGCCGTGAATTTCTGGAAAAAAATTATTGTATTCACCTAGTTGTGCTTGCAGGCGGTCCGTCTTATTACCAAAAACTAGCACATGCTACACACGCTTCAGAAAACTTCCTGGCAATACGTTAGTAATGAATAAATATGATATATTTACTCATTACAATGTTGGTGCTGAACATACAACATGAAAAAGCCCCTTGCAGGGGTTGAGCTCTGCTCTTTCTGCCTGCCTCTCTACTGTCAATCAACTGTTATTAACTACCAACTAATTTTTTTTCACCCCCCCCCCCAGGAAGCAGCCTGTAACAGCTGTCTAACTCCCAGGTACCTATTTACTGCTAAGTAACAGTACGAGTCTCACATTAGGATTACGAGTGCAGAGCGTTGTTCACTCAGCCATCAGCCCCCTCAAAATGTGTAACCAAATAGATGTGGGATCGCTGAATTGTTTCAATTGTAGGTTAGATATACAGTGCACATGAGTCCGTTTGATTAGGTATAATAGAAGTTGGCTTGCATGGGCCAATATGCCTTTGCAGTTTTGTATATTCTTATGTTACGCCAATGCCTTCTTGCAAATCAAGTTTCATGGAGACCTGATATGCACTAATAAGTATATTGTCACTGTGGCGCAGTGGTAAAGCACTCGCCCGTCGCTTTCGCCTGGGTTCGTATCCTGGTGGGGGAGGATTGACTGGGCACCAAGCCTTAACTGTAGCCTTTGTTCACCCAGCAGTAAATAGGTATCATTAATTTTTTTTTAAATTTTGCCTCGAGGGGTGAGTTTATTGTAATAGCAGCTTTACAACAATGTAACAACTCTTGTGTATAACAATAAATAGGCGAGAAATAATCAATAAATAGGTTGGTACAATTTCCATAACGCCCGCCTATTTGCGACCCCACTGCCAGACGTACACTAAAACCTTAATTAATACTCCGACTCAACTGCCAAATGCTGTACCACCAAACCACCGCTGTAATCATGACCAAAAAAATGACAATGAGGAAGTTAGAGGAACCTTCCACTCATGACCTTGTAAATGTAGAGCAGTAAATGAGAGAGAGAGGCCAGGGGTGCTGAATAATTTTTCCTGAATTTTGAATTTTACCTGAATTGTCGTGAATTTTACCCAAAGAAACATTTTTAATTTTTCAATTTTTAGGTCGGGGATGATGAGAAAGTGCTTTTTGTCTCAATAAACATACTTGAACTTGAACTTGTCATTACATTACGCTTTGCGTAATACTGTAGTGGCTTTAGGCATTGTATGTACTAGCTAATATTATTTTATTTTATTGATATATATACAAGATTTATTAAATTTTCGTATAGCCATTAGCACGCATAGCGTTTCGGGCAGGTCCTTAATATTAATATTCCCTTGAATACGATCCACTAAAGCGTTTAAAAACACATTTAATACCGGGTGAAGAGAGGCTGCAGTTAGGGCTTGGTGCCCAGTCAATCCTCCCTCAGGATACGAACCCAGGCGGCGGCGCGGGGGGAGCGTGTGACCAGTGCGCCACAGGGGAGGTACACTGGGGTGAAACAAGTGGTATAAGAGGGCAGTTAACCCCTTAAACAGCACCAAGTGACATAATAAGTCAAGACAAACACCTCCGTCTCCTGTAGACGCCTCAGACAGCGTCTCAAGATCACTAACTACCACCTTCTCCAACAACAACCAGGTGAGAACTGCTCCATGGCCTCATTACGGCCAAAATGAGACTTTTTAATGATGATATTACCAGAGACACATTCTAAATATACCAAAAAAAGTTTCAAAAACTGTTGGCATTCTTTCTAAGATCAGATATTATGTACCTCGCCCTGCCCTGGTGACTCTCTATTACACCCTTATCTATCCTTATCTCAACTATGGTATTTGTGCTTGGGGTTCTACTACCCAAAATCACTTACGTCCTCTAATTACTCAAGACAAAGCTGCTATTAGGACAATATCCAACTCTGGCCCCAGACATCACTCGGTACCTCTACTCAAATCTCTGAATATGTTAGATATTAAGTCACTGCACATTCTCTCGTGTGGTTATCCTGCGATGATTTCGGGGCTTTAGTGTCCCTGCGGCCCGGTCCTCGACCAGGCCTCCACCCCCAGGAAGCAGCCCGTGACAGCTGACTAACACCCAGGTACCTATTTTACTGCTAGGTAACAGAGGCATAGAGTGAAAGAAACTCTGCCCATTGTTTCTCGCCGGCGCCCGGGACAGGATCACAAGTCCAGCGTGCTGTCCGCTCGGCCGACCGGCTCCCGGTCAGATGTGTATTATACATATATAAAACGCTGAACTGTAATGCCAATCCTACCCCTCAAAAGCTTCATAGAAGGTTGTAACAGAACCCATGAGCACCACACCAGAAACAAATACCTTTTTCATATTCCAAGAGTACGACTTAGTCAAACTAGAAATGCTCTACAAATCAAGGGAGCCAGAATGTGGAATGACCTTCCCAACCATGTTAAAGACTGTACCTCTCTCAACCAGTTTAAGATAAAAACTAAACACTACCTAATTAACTCCCTGTAACTTACCTTATCCCTATAATGTTAACCCATGTCTTAGTATTTTTAAACAATGCTGTTTGTTGACCAACTTGTATATTGGCTATTTTCTACCATGTTCCCCCCTTTTTTATCTTTTATTTTTTTCTTTGAATCGAATTTATACTTTAAGCTCGATTACTATTAAGTTTTATTCTAAGTGTTTTTTTCCTCACCTCACCTTGCCTGAAACGCTATGCGTACTAGTGGCTTTAGGTATTGTATGTACTACCTCTATCTGTAAATTAATCAGAATGTTTGTATCTCTGCTTCTATGTATGTACTTTTCCTAAATATTTTTATTATTATGATTTCGGGGCTTAGCGTCTCTGCGGCCCGGTCCTCGACCAGGCCTCCTTTTTGTTACACATCCCCAGGAAGCAGCCCGTAGCAGCTGTCTAACTCCTAGGTATCTATTTACTGCTAGGTGAACAGGGGCATCAGGGTGGTAGAAACTCTGCCTATTTGTTTCCACTTCCATCGGGGATTGAACCCTGAACCTCAGGACTACGAATCCTGAGCGCTGTCCACTCAGCTATCAGGGTCCCATGATAGACAAAAAATACCCACTGGCCATGGCACAAGACAAATGCTCATTAAGCTGGCACATGGTGCTGTAATATATATGACCTCGTTCACAGCTAAAGACTCGCCTATATGGTATTAACGAGGCCCTGACCAAGCACCATGAAGTCCTCTACACACGGCATCAAATTCACAAACAACATCCAAATTTGATGAAGCAGCGCCACACTTGGAACACAAGAGTGAAGGTTCCTGCAGAAGGCCTATTGGGGCCCATACGAGGCAGCTCCTATTTATATCCACCCGATCTCATTCATATACTGTATATGTCTAACCTACGCTTGAAACAATGGAACGGTCATTGCAAAGAAGGTTACGAGCAACCAAAAAGATATGGAATCAAATGTGACCAACTATTAATGGCCATGTTTGAAGACTATGACATAACTGAAAGCCAGCAGATTTCTGCTGTCATTGGCAGTGTCACACACACATTTTATTTATCTATTTATATATATACAAGAAGGTACATCATGTTTATGAGGGTACATAGCATTGATGTTTTTACATTCTTGTAAAGCCACCAAAGCCACTTTACCCGAAACGCTTTGCGTAATAGTGGCTTTAGGCATTGTATGTACTAGCTCTATCTATAAATCCATCAACATTTTGTATCTTACCTTGTATGTATGTACTTTACCTGAATAAATATTGAATTGAATTGAATTAAAAACTAACACGCATAGCATTTAGGGCAGGTCTTTAATCTAACAGATAATTTTAAGTACAGTACAGTATGTAATTTCTAGCAAAATTGAAAAAATGTTAACAGGTATATTGTAAGAAAATTTGACACGTAACCGAACCTGGCCTTGTCCAAGCTGTTCTGTCATTCTATTTATTAATCAATGCACTCTCGTCCAAACCTCTCGGTAATGCTATGCTGCATAAGCATAGTAATGGTCGATAATGTCTCCTTGCACTTGTGGGAGCATTTACCATATTATCTTATAAATAAAATAAACAAAACATTTATTCAGTTTTTTCTACCACAAATGTGGCCAATATTTACAACGCTAACCAGCATATATACATTTTTGTCTGTCCTCCATGGACAGGGTTAGAGATGTGTTAAACATATAATTCAGTGATTTATTGAACAATCAACCACAGAAGGATATTGTAGTGCTTTTAAAATGCTAAGCTAACCTACAAACATAAATACACAGATTTACGTCTGTCCTGCATAAACAGTTTGAAGTGTCTTTTTACATAGTCATTTAATGTTCATTTACAAAGGAGAAATAAAATTCTAAATGTACAGCTTCCACATACCCTGTATTTATTCAGGTTATTCAGGTAAAAGTACATACATACAAGATGAGTTACAAACAGAATGATGGATTTCTGATAGAGCTAGTACATAAAAAACCTAAAGCCACTAATACTCACAGCATAGCGTAATCTCTGGGCAAGGTGTCGGAAAAACACTTGGACTAAAACTTAAAACTAAATAAAAAACTTAAAATCTTGGTAAAAGCTTCATTTATATTATTAGTTTAAATTTAATGTTACCATTAAGACATTAGTTTAATAAAACCTCTTTAATACTTCATTATCTAGTTACAGTATTAGTCTTAGCTTTAAATATCTGTAATTTACTATCTTCTGTTATTATCTAGACTTTAATTTGATAAAATCGGATGAATCTTTAAACTCTTGAATTGTCTTGTCCTTGTAAATTGCACTGTAATTTGAACATTAATCTCCAGTATATTTATCTGCCCAGTAATACAGTACTGTATTAGCGATTAGGCTTTTTATTTAATATTCTCTACTATACAGCCCATTTTTGTCTGTCCTTACTGCATACTGTATCTTTTCTAGCAGTTTATATTACTATATAATATCAGTGTATTAGTCATAATTATAATTTAATAGTAATTTAATTATAAGTCTTAGTTATAATTTAAGAATTTACTGAATTCTTAATTATCTGGCTCCTAGTCAATTGTTTTTGAAAATTTAAAAATTATGAATTATAAATGTGTATGAGTACAGTATATATATGTCTCTCCTACTTTTACAGGGTAAGATAGCTGCTATAGAAACTAGTGTGTTATTAAGCACTTAACCAGTGAAGGTGATTAAGATGCTTTTACAAGCTCAAATTATAGTTTATTTTTTATTTTATTTCACATTATATGTTTCACATTATAACTACTGTACATTAGTTATATCGCATACATTGTATAAATGATGTATTACAGAGTCAATCTTGCTTACAAGTTCAGTATATCAAGTGTTCTAGTATTCAGATGTTGTTGTTAAAGATTCGCTATCTGGAACAAAAAGTTCCAAGTAACACGGGCTATGGTGAGCCCGTAGATAGTTATTATTCGGATACTATCTACATAGTTCAGCATATCTCAACCCAGGAGGGCAAAAAGTCGGCTAATATGGGACATTCTACAATATAATGTCCATGGGAGTGCATGTTTTCTCTTTCACAAAGTTGACACATGTTGTATTCAACATTGAGTTTTGAGTCTTATATTTTGAGTTCAAAATTGAATTGAACGAGCTTAGAATACAGCTCTTAAATTGGGATACAGTATAGGTTTATGATCTGTTGTCGCCTCACTACTGACCTCATCCCGCCTGACCTTAACCTTTGCCCCCATTTTGCTCTCTATAAGCACTAGTCCTGTGTACCTGAAGATTTTACATTAGTCCCCATAACAGTTATGTCATCTACAGTATTAAAGTTTAATCCTTTCTTGGCACTTCTAAATGTTCTTCACTACTATTTTAAATTGTATGGATAACAAGAACACTGATTTATTATTTTGTTTAGCCATTTCATTATTTTATTTTTGCAGGAAAAGTGAATAATTCCAGAGTGCATCTAACTGGGGACAAACTCGGCCCAGAAGCCAGCAGAAAATAGTGTTCATCTTACACCATGTTAACAGATACTAAAGACACTCTTGGAGATAGTTCAGCAGGAAACAAAGCAAAGACTGTTGATCTTAGAAAGGTGAACTCTGATGAAATAAAACTCATGAAGCCTTCAAAAAACTTGGAAAACCCATTTTTAAATCTGAAAATCAGCGATTCTAGTTTCCTGAATAATTTAGATGGAAGAAGTGCTTGCTCACTGTGTGGTAAATCGAGAAAGTATTTTTGCTATACGTGTTACATTCCTCTTCCCAGCATTGCTGACAAAATTCCTAAAGTAAAGGTAAGTGATATGTACTGTACACAACTATGATTTCCACATGGAATATTATGTTTAATTTGTTATGATGACATGTAACCCTTCTTATTAGAGAGCACATTATGCCACCCTTCTCTCTCTGGAGAGCACATTATGCCACCCTTCTCTCTCTGGAGAGCACATTATGCCACCCTTCTCTCTCTGGAGAGCACATTATGCCACCCTTCTCTCTGGAGAGCACATTATGCCACCCTTCTCTCTCTGGAGAGCACATTATGCCACCCTTCTCTCTCTGGAGAGCACATTATGCCACCCTTCTCTCTGGAGAGCACATTATGCCACCCTTCTCTCTCTGGAGAGCACATTATGCCACCCTTCTCTCTCTGGAGAGCACATTATGCCACCCTTCTCTCTCTGGAGAGCACATTATGCCACCCTTCTCTCTCTGGAGAGCACATTATGCTACCCTTCTCTCTCTGGAGAGCACATTTATGCCACCCTTCTCTCTCTGGAGAGCACATTATGCTACCCTTCTCTCTCTGGAGAGCACATTATGCCACCCTTCTCTCTCTGGAGAGCACATTTATGCCACCCTTCTCTCTCTGGAGAGCACATTATGCCACCCTTCTCTCTCTGGAGAGCACATTATGTCACCCTTTTCCAACCTATCCTCCTGTTTAGATAATATCTATTATGAAGATTGTCTATAGTCAGGCATTCGTAAAAAATTTAAATATTCCTGGACCTAGTATAGCACACATGTACTATATTAGGTCTTAGATATCGGGTATTAGGCCTTGGAAGGTTAAGTTAGGTTAGTTTAGTTTGTCTTTGCAACAAAAGTAAAAAATTGTTTTCCGGTTTGTCCAACTCAATAGTGCTGATTTCTACTTTTTAATTTCGTTGTTTGTCGGAACATAGTAACGATGAGGACCATAATTACCATAATGAGGACCTGTACTTATATATAAGTACAGTACTACCAAAGCAGGAGGATGGGTTGCCCTTCTCTCTAGAGGGCACATTATGAGCAGACTACGACTGCATCGAGCTACAATGCTCTCGCTCCCCATCGAGTTCAGACACTCACGATTCCCTATCGAGCCGCCACGCTCTCCTGCATAGAGCTCCGCGACTCCAGCTTCAGTCAGCTCTCTGCTCTGCTTCAAGCTCCGTCTGAACGTCTACGACAATGCCAACAACCGACTACTGTAATCAAGACTACTAAATAAATATGAAACTCACTAAACACTGTGTATCTAATCTTCCCAACAACGTAACATAATCGTACGTTACACCATCCTTCTCTCTAGAGAGCACATTATACCACTTTTTAGTTTTTATTCACAGGTGGGTATAGGAACAAACAACTGCTGGCTCTTATTACCAGGCTGAGAGCTTTCCCTTCTCATAGCTCATGCTAAGCCTTACCCATAGTTTCCCTGGAATACAGTCCAACTAGTCACGTAACCCTCAATGTGTTGCTGTTGATATATGGTCATTCCTGCACATGCTCAAAAATGAAAAGAATTTCCCAAAAACATATTCTTTGGGGAAGCCCCTTGTGGCTCACTGAAGCTACTATGCTGATATAGTGCCAAACTACTAGGTGTCATCAGTCAGAGTTCTTTTAGGCCTACTGGGGATGGCCACGAGCCAGAACCTGGACCCCTTTAAAGAGGCTCGGGGAGCACTGGCACGTATGATAAAATTACTATAAATTTATTCATGTCTGCCACCGGCGGCGAAGGTACCCAAAAAGTCGGAGAAACAAAACAGACCACTGCTGGTGATAAGTGAGACTGTGCAGCCTCAGAACTGGCAAAAAAAAAAAAAAAACCCAGACAGTGTAAACAAGTAATCGAAAATTCATGAAACTAGCTCTAGCTTGTTCGCCCCACCCCCGACGTATGGGAGAAAGAGGCAGCGAGGGGTCAGCCAGCCGGGAACGATGTACCTTACTTACCTTGACGTGTTTTTGGGGCTTAGCGTCATCACGGCCCGGTCGTCGGCCAGGACTTCGTGTACCAGGAACTGCTGAGACCTGATCTAGGAATTGTCAGATTAGTTTTAACATTTTTATTTAGTTACAATGTTTTACTGAAGAGAATAAATCTTTTTCTTTGCAGCTGCCCTGCAAGATAGATATAATCAAACACCCTAAAGAGATTGATGGGAAAAGCACAGCAATACATGCAGCAGTGTTGGCACCTGATGATGTGGCCATCTACACCTACCCTAACCTGCCTGACTACTCCTCTCAAGATAATGTTAGTAATTAAAGTGTTTGGCTTAATGTTGTTTATTTGAGGTAACAGTGTCATTTACAATACTGTAGCGTGTGTGTGTGTGTGTGTGTAAAAGTGTATGTAAAAGTGTGTGTAAAAATGTGTGTGTAATTACCTAAGTGTAGTTACAGAATGAGAGCTATGTTTGTGGTGTTCAATCTTTCCAGTACTCTGTCATAACACTTTGAAACTACAGTACTGAGTTTTGGCATCCACTGCTTTCTCACTTGTTCTATCTACCACTCTGTTTGCAAAAGAAAACTTATTTATATTTTTTGGCACCTTTGTTTTCTTAACTTGAATCGGCTTAAATCTATGACCTCTTGTTCTTGAAGGTACAGGTTTCAAGAATTCCTCTGTTACTTCCTGTTATTATTTTGTACATGGCAATCATAGTGCCTCTTTTGCTTCAATCTTCTAGCTTTGTTTTAACATCTCTGACCTCTCCTCATAGCTTTTCAGTTCTGGAAGCCATTTAGTAGCATGTCTTTTCCAATACACACAGAAATCACAGTAGCGAGTGCAGTAGCACTCCCGGTTGCAATTCTTTTGACCATGTTGTGTCGCAATCGACTAAGGCGCGTCTGGGATCATCCCGGACGTTGGTTCAAACCCTCATCACGGCTCTTGTGGATTTGTCTTTTCCCAATTTTCCAGTTTATTGATGTACATGGAATGCTGAGCTCAGGTGCACATTCTCTCAGAACCCATGGTGAAACACCATCTGGGCCAACTGCTTTGTTCTTACTTAGCTCATTGACCATTTTTTCACTTCATCTCTAGACACCTCTGTACTCTATGTTGTTCTCTGGAATTCTTAATCTTTTTCTCTGAAGATTTCATTTTATACAAACACACTTTGGAACTTTTCGTTTAATGTTTCACACATTTCCTTTTCATTTTCCATGAATCTGTTTCCCATCTTCAACCTCTGAATATTATCCCTTATCCTTTACCCATGTAGTCGTTTCTCGCATCTTTGTATCGCTGGTATATTTGAAGGTTTGGCCTCTTCCTATATTGATTCTATTTCTATGGGGAGCCCTTTGGTTTCCTGGAGCTATCGGACTGATATACGATATATTTGTCTAGGGTATTAGTCAATGGAGTTCAGCCTACCGAAGACCACGAGCTAGAACCTGGCCCCCCTCAGAGAGGCTAGGAAGCAATGGCCTCTGGTAAACCCCCATGTGTTTTGTGGGTATTCCTTTTCTGCCATCGACTGGGGTTAACCACCCAGTAAAGTAGGTATAACAACACAAACCCCACTTGGTAAGAAAATTGCAACCAAAAACTGAACAGGGAGGCAGAACTCCCCATCAATTCCCTCTCCAGGGGGAAGGGGGGTTGTGCAGACAGCGGTGTAGTGACGTCATGCTTGCTTGACCAGACCACACACTAGAAATTGAAGGGACGACGACGTTTCGGTCCGTCCTGGACCATTCTCAAGTCGATTCACAGATTCACATGCTTGCTTGTTTTCATTTTGGGAGTTCTGTCCACTAGTTTGGCTTTCAGTAGCAATATTTTAACCAGAATTGTGGGTTTGTTTTGGGGTGCTTACCTTTCTGGGTGCCTGACCCAGTTGATGGCAGACCTAGAATGCGTCCAACCCACACCGGGGGGGTTTCTATAGGCCTTTCCTCAAATATTAAAGTATAAACATGGAAAAATTAAAACATATCTTTTTGGAAAAAATCAGGGTAAACTAAATAGATTCCTGCCTTTAGTTTTATGCAACCAAATTAGTGTGACGAATGATACTGTCGTTTTGACTTCAAAATTTCATTAAAATCAGGTTCCAGATTAGATGAGCCAATTGTAAGAATTGATTTCAAGTGATCATCAGACAAATTTGCTTGATAGTTAGATTTCACATACTTCATTTTGGAAAAAGTTTGTTCACACAAGTATGTTTAACCAAAAATGGACACAAAACTGCAAGCAAACTTTATCAAATTTGGAAACTGATCTGGCTGCAGGCATTTATAAAACTCAATCAGATTTCCTTCTCTATACTTATCTTTCAGTCTGTCATCTGCCTGGAGATCAATAATTTCCATTTGAAATTGAGTTGGAAGATTTTCAGCATTGCAGTCAAATGGATTATGAAAGAATTGAATTTTCATTTTCAGATTTTTTCTTACTGAAAACAGCTTGTTGAGAATGCAGACTGTGCTGAAATGATTCAAACTTTTTAGTGCGTTCTGCTCCTGTGATGTGAGAATAACTTGAGCCATGTTTAGATTCATAGTGCCGACGAATATTGTATTCCTTCAGAACAGCAACACTGTCTCTACATATTATGCATAAAGCTTTATCATTTGCTATCACAAAAAAGTACTTTATCTTCCATTCGTCATTGAACCGACGGCACTCACTGTCCACTTTTCTTTTCTTTATCTTTTCCATATCTGAAAACATAAGGGTAAAATAAATGAAATAAATTCTACAGGAAAAAAACAGCTTGTATGTGGTGTTAAAAAGCATAGCATATTATTATAAAGTGGTAAATATTATGGCAACAGCTTTCGTTGATAAACTTAATGGTTACCATTTTATTGGTTTATATTGGTTTAAAACCATTTTATAATGGTTTACCATTATTTTAAACATGCAATATTTTTGGCTACAATAGTCTATAGGCCATTGCTCCTCGTGCCACTCTGCGGGCGGCCAGGTTCTGTCTCGTGGTCCCTGGTAGGCCTAGAGCACCATGTGCATTGACTGATGCCAGGGGCTAATACATTCATATCAGCCCAGTTATGTCCGGGGAGCCTCTGAGTCTTGTCAAGAAAACGGCATTTCATTACAATCGACGCTGTTTTTTTTGGCGAAGAACTAGACAGCGGCTTTCCAGAGGGGCCCTTGGATCATTGATGCTTGGTTGATCAGGCCGGGGGTGCATCATGTGTTATCCAGTTGTGGCTCTTTGCTGTTATCTGCACACCTCGGCCTCTGTGGTCGGGGATGCGCTTTGGATTGATCCAGTTTCCCTCGTTTACCTCGTTCCCCTGTTCCAGTGCTTGGGTCTCCCAGGTCGTTTGCAAGGTCACTTTCATTTATTCTCATATTAGGAACAGACCTTACTTAAGGAATGATATGTAAGAATTCACAAGATTATTGACAATGTACTTAGACAGATGAGAGAAAATTAAAAGGTCACTCGCATAGTGTTGTCTTGGTAAATAAAGCAGTGGAGAAATAGCCTTGATGACTGAGGAGAGGTAAGTGTCGGTTGTCACTTATTCTCCACAATAGGTGGAGTCCTAGCGTTAATAATAACACCTTTATTACTGATGTACAACATTGTGCTACAATGTTAACAAATAATGTTTTAAGATTATTGTATTTATTAGCATAAATGTAATCTCCTCATATAATTCATAATATTACTTTCCCCCAGATATTATTGGTATTCCCAGACAAAGATGCCATACACATTGAGGACTTGTGGTCACACCTTGAGACGCACACCAAAAGAAACCCTGAAGAGCCTCAGATGAAACGCAACAAACCACATATTCCATTTTCAAGAGCAGTATTTATTGACTGTACTTGGAATCAAACCAGGAAGCTCTACCATGACGAGAGAATAAAAGGTACGGTTTGCATGGTGAGATGTGTATCGAGTCTCTGTCGTGAAGTTTCTCACTGTAGTGAAACATCTCTTCATCTTTCCTGCTTATACAATAATGTTGCAAGTTTGGTGATTAATGTAAGATTTATTTGTAACTTAATCTAACAGCAATGTTTGCAAGAATCAGTCAAAGATCTGTTTCAAAATTAAATGCATGTGGTATGCAGTCTATATACCAATCCTCACCAAGCAGGTGTAGAAACCAATGCTGGGGAAAAAGAGACAGGAAAGTAATGCTACAAAAACGCCAGACCGTTATTGTCTTCAGCTACACACAATATTATATTACACACTGCTGTGCTCCTTGTTCTTGTTATACATACATACACTGCTCCTTGCTCTCTTATACATACACTAAACTACCCTTTGCTGCATTCTACATACCACTACTGTGTTCCTTGCTCTGTTATACATGCACCACTGTGCTTATTGCTCTAATATGCATACACTACTGTGTTGCTTCCTCTGTTATACATACACTACTCTGTCGCTTGTTGTCAGACAGGGGCTGGCTGTGCCGTCATACAGGCGCTGGCTGTGCCGTCATACAGGCGCTGGCTGTGCCGTCATACAGGCGCTGGCTGTGCCGTCATACAGGCGCTGGCTGTGCCGTCATACAGGCGCTGGCTGTCCCGTCATACAGGCGCTGGCTATGTTGTCATACAGGCGCTGGCTGTGCCGTCATACAGGCGCTGGCTGTGCCGTCATACAGGCGCTGGCTGTGCCGTCATACAGGCGCTGGCTGTGCCGTCATACAGGCGCTGGCTGTGCCGTCATACAGGCGCTGGCTGTGCCGTTATACAGGCGCTGGCTGTGCCGTCATACAGGCGCTGGCTGTGCCATCATACAGGCGCTGGCTGTGCCGTCATACAGGCGCTGGCTGTGCCGTCGTACAGGCGCTGGCTGTGCCGTCATTGTTTCAGATACTTGGGTCCTGGAGCCAAGGGACACCACGTACCAAGACAACAAAGGAGGCCGAGTGCTAGCCAGTGCAGGAAGGGGGGTGCATCTTCCTAAGCGGTTCCCCCCCCCATCCATTTTTAATGCATCATACAGTCACCTACACCAATGCAAAGATCTCTTTTGCCCTATCACCCCAGCCTAGACACCCACCAGGCTCCTCCAGCAGGTGGTCTGATGACCCGAATGGGTGCTTTACATTTGTTTCGTTTTACATGAACTACGCCTGGAGAGGGAGGGGGGGGGGGGTGCTGAGACAACCCCTACTGACCCAACGGAATTGTACGTGGGCCATCTCCCCTCCCCTCCCCTCACCATGACAAGTCAGAACTCCTGAGGGGGGTTAATAATGTGTAAATACTGTTTACAATACGTGTATGCATGTTGATTACAATGTTGTCTTTGTTTATTGTTTAGGTGTTCGGTGTGTAGAGCTGACCAAGAGAGAGACGTTGTTCTGGCGGTACCAGCGAGGGAAGCCCCACACCTACCTGGCTACCATCGAGGCTATATATTACTTCCTAGTCGACGTGCACATCAATGTTCTTAAGGCAGATTATGCCAGCGAATATGATGACCTCCTTTTTTTCTTTAAATTTATGTTTCAAAAAATCCATTCCCTCTATGATAAGCACACTTTAAGGGCATACAAAACACTCTAGTGCTTTTACTGTAATTTTGAGAGATGGTTTTTTCTGCATTCTGTATAATAAATTACATTTTAGTAAATGTTGTTTATTTTGGAGAGGGGGTAATGTATTATTTTGTTTTATTTCTTGACCTCACAACAGCCAAACGAAAGTAAGATCAATTTTGTTTCCCTTCATCAGAAATAATGTTTTATGATATAAAAAGGAAAGAGAATTCTTAATTTACTTTTTAGGTGCACCTAGAAGGGGACTTAAATAAAGTGCACAGGTGGAGCGTTAGGAGGCCTGGTCGAGGATCGGGCCGCGGAGACGTTGAGCCCCGAAACCATTGCAAGGTAATCGCAAGGTAACCACCTCCAAAGGATACCTGATCAACCAGGCTGTGACTCGTACGTCAGGCTGCGAGCAGCCGCGTCCAACAGCCTGGTTGATCAGTCTGGCAACCAGGAGGCCTGGTCGACGACCGGGCCGCGGGGACGCTAAGCCCCGGAAGCACCTCAAGGTAACCTCAAGGTAGGTACAGCGCAGTTTGAGGGTTGAACTAGACTTTGCAACCCTGGAGGACAGAGAAGAAGGAGTGTGATTGCATTGCACACTGTGCTGTGTATTGCAATTGCAAGATCAAACAGATTGGATAGTAATTTTCTATAGAGCTCTTTCTGCCATTTTTTAAGTTATGGGTAACATTTGCATATTTCCAATCTAAGGAAACTATGCCTTAGTCCAGGGATTTTCTGAAAAGGAGTTTCAGTGGTAGACACATTTCATCTGCCAGTTCCTTAAGGACTTTGGATTGAATTCCGTCCACACCTGGGGCTTTTGAGTCTTTCGGTTTGTTAGTGGTTTTCCTGTAAAGTATTGATTCAATGTTGGCTGTCCTCTTATCTTCTCTTATAACTCGGTTGGTCTCATCTTTTAAGGGTCCTGAGTCTTTTGTTTTGGTTTTATTTCTTATATAGGCAAATAAAGACTTTGGATCTTCCTTTGTTTTGAATGCATTTGTGTAGAAGCCGTTCAAACTCTTGACATTGTGCAGCGTGCAGCCTGGAAAAGAAAGCAGCACCAATAGATTCCGAGTCTTTTATTTTGTTTCAGAAGGTGAGAGTATAGGCCAGTAAGGCCACCCATACAGCTAAATGTGAGAGCTGGAGATCCTATGTCTCCACTGTTATGGTTGACTTCACACCCCCTCCCACCTCCCCCCTCTCCCTCATATCCCGAAGAAGATCCGTAAGATTTCGGGTAAATTTGTTCTAGACTTATTATCTGTCCTTCATCTCCATGGTTCTCTCATGATGGATTTGGTATTGGTCACGAATGACTTGGGCTCACACTTTTCAGCCGTTATCTCCGGTGCTCACTTTCCTACCACATTCTTTACTCGTAAACTTCTTCTTGAGTTTTGTACCTAAATCTTTCGCACTCGCCTCCAGCTCCCCAGTAACGATCTCTTCTCTCTATCAGAACTTCAGTCTGCCCTGTCCCTCTGCGATTCTATGGCAGTGGACTTGGACAGCATTCATTATGAGATGCTTCACCATCTCCCTTAGGGTGCCTTTCAGTATTTACTGAATAAAGTATCCACAATAGTATTTGGGAGAAGTCATTAGTCCCCGACTGGCTTGAAGTGGTTGTTCTTCCCATTCGAAAACCTGCTACTCGAGGGGACCTCCCCCCCTAAGGATTTTCGTGCTATTGCCCTGACAAGTTGCATTTGCAAGCTTTTCGAATTTATGGTCAATGTCTGTCTTAAGTGGTTCTTAAAATGCTGTCGCTACCTTCTTTCTCAATTTGGCTTTTGCAAGTGTTGCAGCATGACTGATGTTTTAGTGGAACTAAAAGTTTACATTGATCCTGCCTTTGCAGCAAAGTCCTCTGTGGTTGCCATTCTTTTTGACTTGGAAAAGGCTTACAATACTACCTTGAGGTACAATATTTTGCCCTAGCTTCATTCTTTTGGCCTTCGTGACAATCTCCTGATCTTCCTCTCTCATTGTTCCACCTTGGTTGATACCTGGTTGATGGGGTTCTGGGAGTTCGTCTACTCCCCAAGCCCGGCCCGAGGCCAGGCTCGACTTGTGAGAGTTTGGTCCACCAGGCTGTTGCTTGGAGCGGCCCGCAGGCCCACATACCCACCACAGCCCGGTTGGTCCGGCACTCCTTGGAGGAATAAATCTAGTTTCCTCTTGAAAATGTCCACGGTTGTTCCGGCAATATTTCTTATGCTTGCTGGGAGGACGTTGAACAACCGCGGACCTCTGATGTTTATACAGTGTTCTCTGATTGTACCTATGGCACCTCTGCTCTTCATTGGTTCTATTCTACATTTTCTTCCATGTCGTTCACTCCAGTACGTTGTTATTTTACTGTGTAGATTTGGTACTTGGCCCTCCAGTATCTTCCAGGTGTATATTATTTGATATCTCTCTCGTCTTCTTTCTAGTGAGTACATTTGGAGGGCTTTGAGACGATCCCAATAATTTAGGTGCTTTATTGCGTCTATGCGTGCCGTATATGTTCTCTGTATTCCCTCTATTTCAGCAATCTCTCCTGCTTTGAAGGGGGAAGTGAGTACTGAGCAGTACTCAAGACGGGACAACACAAGTGCCTTGAAGAGTACAACCATTGTGATGGGATCCCTGGATTTGAAAGTTCTCGTAATCCATCCTATCATTTTTCTGGCTGTCGCAATATTTGCTTGGTTATGCTCCTTAAACGTTAGGTCGTCAGACATTATTATTCCCAAATCCTTTACATGCTGTTTTCCTACTATGGGTACATTTGATTGTGTTTTGTACTCTGTATTATGTTTAAGGTCCTCATTTTTACCGTACCTGAGTACCTGGAATTTATCACTGTTAAACATCATGTTATTTTCTGATGCCCAGTCGAAAACTTTATTAATATCAGCTTGAAGTTTTTCAATGTCCTCAGCCGAGGTAATTTTCATACTGATTTTTGTGTCATCTGCAAAGGATGATACGAAACTGTGACTTGTATTTTTGTCTATATCTGATATGAGAATAAGGAAAAGCAGTGGTGCAAGGACTGTACCCTGAGGTACAGAGCTTTTCACTGCACTTGGACTAGATTTTATATGGTTGACAGTTACTCGCTGAGTCCTGTTTGACGGAAAACTGAGTATCCAGCGTCCTACTTTACCGGTTATTCCCATTGACTTCATTTTGTGTGCTATCACGCCATGGTCACATTTATCGAAGGCCTTTGCGAAGTCCGTGTATATCACATCAGCATTCTGTTTCTCTTCTAATGCCTCAGTGACTTTGTCGTAGTGCTCAAGTAGCTGTGAGAGGCACGATCTTCCCGCTCGAAATCCATGTTGGCCTGGGTTATGAAGGTCATTGGTCTCCATGAAATTGGTGACCTGACTCCTAATCACTCTCTCAAATACTTTTATGATGTGCGATGTTAGTGCAACTGGTCTATAATTTTTTGCCAATGCTTTGCTCCCTCCCTTGTGTAGAGGGGCTATGTCTGCTACTTTAAGTGCATCTGGTATCTCCCCCGTGTCCAAGCTCTTCCTCCACACTATACTGAGTGCCTGTGCTACCGGCACTTTGCATTTCTTTATAAATATTGAATTCCATGAGTCTGGACCTGGGGCCGAGTGCATGGGCATGTTTTCAATTTCTTTTTCAAAATTTAGTGCGCTCGTGTTTATATCAGTTATATTTACCGGGGTTTGAATATCCCGCATAAAGAAATTGTCTGGATCTTCCACCTTCATGTTGTTTATTGGAGTGCTAAACATGTCCTCATACTGCTTTTTTAGGATTTCACTAATTTCTTTGTCATCCTCCGTGTATGAACCTTCACTTGTACGAATAGGTCCAATACTGGCAGTGGTTTTTGCTTTTGATTTCGCATATGAGAAAAAATATTTTGGATTTTTCTTTATTTCCTGAATTGCTTTCTGTTCTAAACTGCCTTTCTTCAGTTTCATATGAGTGTTTCAATTTCCGCTCGATTTCTTCAATCTCCCTATTTAAATTATTCCTTCTTTGACGGGAAATTCGCGTCTGCATAAGCAGTTCCGTTATTTTTTTCCTGCGTTTATTGTGTCGTCTGCGTTCTCTTTCTACGTTAGATCTCTTTCTGGCTTTCCTCAAAGGAACATGTTTCAGACAGACTTGATACGCTTCTGAAGTAAGTTTTTCTATTCCTTCTGTAGGACTTGTATTATTTAGAACAGTTCCCCATGGAATGTTTGTAAGTTCCCTGTTTATTATCTCCCAGTCTATCCTTTTATTATTAAAATTGAATTTACTGAATAGCCCCTCTCGCTTTATCAACGTTTTAGGTCTATTCTGAGTATTGATGGTCGTTTGCACTTCAATGAGTTTGTGATCTGAAACAAACCTTCTCTACCTCCTTTCTCCAATTCAAAGGTGATCCCAGGGTAGTGTTCTGAAAACTACTTTTTTTTTTTTTTTTTTCTTCGTTGCCCTTAATGGTCATACTTCTTTCCTCTGACATTTTCTTTGTGTTGATGATCTCGCTCTCTGCTGTGGTGGGGATGACTCCCCTTTCTTCCAACACCAGCTTCAACTTGCGATTGATGCTGTGTCGTCCTGGGTCACCAATTATGGCTTCAAGTTCTCTACCTCTAAGATGTCATAAAAGCTACGACTTTTATTCTGGAGCAGGTTGTTCTTCATCCCCCAAAGTAGCTCTATGGTAGTCTCTTTCTGTATAAAGATTCTGCTAAACTTTTGGAGTTGATGTTTGACACTTGTTTGTCTTGGTCACCACATAGCTCTTGCCTCCATGTCAAATGCTCTAAGGCTCTTTACTTCGAATCTTGTCCCTTACTTCCAGTGGTGGTGTTGCCATGCATGCTAACCACTTGTCAGAACCGGCACTTACCTCGGCTATTATGACCAATTCCTCAGAATCGATCATTTGGCTTGAAGTGAGACTTCATCTGACGTCTGCAACGGACAGAGGTTTGATGGTCTCATTTCAAACCAGACAGTTGATTCTGAAGAATCAGTCACAAGGTAACCACAATAAGCGATAATTTAATACTTACGTATGGGCCAAGCCTCCTCACTCAAT